CAGTAAGTATTCTACTTCAATTTTTGATATTTACTAATTATATCTGTCCGTATATATAGCACATACCGCAGTAGCAGTGACAATTAGAAAAACTAAGCATTAATAATATCGTTCGGGGTTATTTTGTGAATTCTAATCAGGTAGTCTGCACTTGTCAACATGAATTAGACCAGAAGTCAAGGAATTAATGGGCTGATTTAAAGTTTTGTTATCCCAAATCAATGGTGCACATGGGCTCCAGTATCCTGAGGGAACAAATGGCGTATGAACCAATTTCTTGGTCACCGGCTTCCATGGGACTGCATCTCCTCACGATGCTCCACTGCCTTGTGGGTTAGACCTTTAGGTCAAAGGTTCGGGATGTGGCCCCCTAATAAAACCACCTGCTTCGGTCTGGGCACCCGGGCAGTATCTCAGCCTACGCACAAATATAATGATAATGAAAATTATGATATTCACTGAAAACTATTCTCGCTGCGATTTATAGTCAAACAATTCACATTATTATTATTATTATTATTATTATTATTATTATTGTTATTATTATTATTATTATTATTACTATTATTATTATTGTTATTATTATTATTTACCACGTCATTTACTCACTCTCTTTCATTCCCACTCTGTCTATCCTTATTTTTCGACTTATAGAGCAGCTCGCCTAGGGTGGACATTCGGTTCTATCTAAACGTTCCCGTGTCACTGACTGGTTGAAAATTGTATGTTGCCATCGAATAAGAGTACCGAAACAGTTTTTCTGAAACCACGTGCACCATTCAAACTGGCTGCCTTTAACGTTCGCACACTTATGCAGGTCGGACAACAGATAGGGCTGGCTATGTCTTTGGAAAGTCTTAATATTGACGTTTGTTGTCCATCCGAGACCCGTATTCAAGACTCTGGTGAAGTACTACAAATTCGCTCTCCATTTGTCACTTCAAAAAGCTTGTTCTACGTGCGTTTATCCGGGGACCCTGTGGCATGTTCGTCTGGTCTTGCTGGCGTTGGTGTCACACTAAGCGCTAGAGCTGAGGCAGCGCTAATCGACTGGATCCCCATTAACAGTCGGTTATGTGCTGTTAGATTAGAAAGTTCCATCAAAGTGAGAAGAAAGTGGAGTGAGAAACGATATATTTTCGTCATCTCCGCCTATGCCCCGACAGATTGCAGCCCGGATGCAATCAAGGACGAGTTCTACCACCAGTTAACTGTTCTCCAGAAAGTGCGTTCGACAGATATTGTAGTACTAGCTGGAGACTTGAATGCTCATGTCGGGCGTCTAGGCACAGAAGAGAGTCGTTTAGGTGGCCGATGGGAACTTGTTGGTCGCAGGACAGATAACGGGGAACGTTTACTGCAACTATGCACAGACCACAACCTGTTTCTGGCTAGCACTAACTTTCGGCACAGTCATCGCCGATGTGCCACCTGGCGTCCTCCTTCTGCATCTCAAGCCTGGACTCAGATTGATCACACCACGATCAGCTGCCGCTGGCGTAGTTGTGTACAAGACTGCCGCTCCTTTTGGAGTACCTATCTGGAATCTGATCATGCTCTGGTCTGCGCCAATCTTACCTTACTTTTCAGTGGCCAACGAAGTGACTACCACCAAAGGATTGATGTCAGCAAGTTGGTTGCAACTTCTGTTGCTAGTATGTATCGAACCGGGCTAGCTTCTAGGCTAGCTACCATTCCACCGAAAAGTATAGATGAGCATTGGTTGCAATTGCATGACGCCATGAAAATGGCGGGTCAAGTCAGTTGTGGGTTTGCGAAACGTCCCGCTTACAGACACTGGGTTTCTTCTGGTTCCTTACAACTGATTAAAGCCCGTCGGTCTACTCCGGGTGACCGTGAGTATGACCACAAACGAAGAATGTTACATACTGAAATTGGGCAAAGCTTGCATAAGGACCGAGAAACCTGGTGGTCGGTGCGTGCTAGTGAGCTGGAAGCAGCAGCCGCATCTGGTAATTACCGGGAGCTCTTCCAACTCATCCGAGCCACTGGCAGCAAGAAGTCTGGTGTGAGCGAAACAATCTGCGAGGATGACGGAACGCCAATCACTAACATCCATCGACGTATTGGACGATGGGCAGAATTCTTCGAAGGGGAGTTCAACTGGCCTGCTGCTCCGGCAACATCGGTCAGACTGTCCTAATCTCCATGGCTGGTGACGACTGATCCACCAAATGAGGCGGAAGTCTGCAAGGAACTCCAACTCTTGAAACGTTACAAATCACCGGGCCCAGACGACTTACCTCCGGCTCTTTTTAAAAATGGTGGTGACTTTCTGACTAAGGGACTGACGACGTTGTTTACAAAGGTCTGGCAACTAGAGAGTGTACCAACGTCATGGAATGAGTCAATAGTTGTCCCTATTTTTAAAAAGGGTTCATGTTGTTCCTGTAACAACTATCGGGGGATAAGTCTACTCCCGATTGCGTCCAAGCTATTGGCTTCCGTTATACTTCGTAGGTTGTTCAAAACACGAGAAAAATTTTCTCATGATGAACAGGCTGGTTTTCGTTCTGATCGAGGATGTATTGATCATATCTCCACCCTCCGCCAAATGTTAGAACACCGTCATACTTATCAAAGACCAACAATCGTAGTGTTTCTTGACATCAGGGCTGCCTTCAATTCGTTAGACAGAACTGTTCTCTGGGATTGTCTACTGAAGAAGGGTGTACCTGAGAAGTTTATTAACATCCTAAAAGCCCTATACACAAACACCTCAGGCAAAGTGAGGGCATACAACCACCTTTCTCCATTATTCCATTCGAGCAGTGGGGTTAGACAGGGTTGTCCAATCTCACCATTCCTCTTCAACTTTGCCATCGATGGCATTCTGGAAACAGCTCTGATGGATGTAAGTAATGGTGGTGTGGATCTGTTCCCTGGAGAAAGACTTTTCGACCTTGAGTATGCGGATGATATTGTCTTACTGTGCGAGAATGCCCAAGCCATGCAATCCGCACTTAATTAGTTGGCAATCAGTGTCCGTAGGTATGGTATGTGCTTTGCACCTTCGCAGTGCAAAGTACTTCTACAAGACTGGCAGGATTCTAATCCTGTACTCACTCTGGATGGTGAGCAGATAGAAGTAGTCGAGAAGTTCGTGTATCTAGGTAGCTGCATAAGTGCTGATGGTGGTGTGAGTGATGAGATCAATGCACGTATAGTGAAAGCCAGAGCGGCTTATGCCAATCTGGGCCATCTTTGGCGCCTTCCTGATGTTAGTCTGGCTGTAAAAGGTCGGATCTACAACGCGACGGTGAGAAAAGTTTTGCTCTATGCTTGTGAAACCTGGCCTCTCCGAGTTGAGGATGTTAGACGACTCTCTGTGTTCGATCATCGTTGTCTCAGAAGGATTGCTGACATTCAGTGGCAACACCATGTTAGTAATGCAGAGGTTCGGTACGTGTGTTTGGGCACAGAGACGATGATTCCATTGGTGCCACCATCTTGAAACACCGACTTCGGTGGCTTGGACATGTTGTACGAATGTCGTCCCACAGAATTCCTCGTCGTGCATTATTTGCCGACTCTGGGACTGGTTGGAAAAAGCGGAGAGGTGGTCAGTATATGACATGGTGTCGTGGTATGCAAGAAAGCTGTAAAGGGCTGGCTTTTGTTTGTCCTTCACGACTCCCTGGCTGGGGTCCTGGAGATGGTGTAACACAGTGGCTAAAAATGTTATCAGATATGGTTCAGAATAGAAGCCAGTGGCGATCCTGTTGTAACATTCTTTTACTTTCTTCGTAAAAAGCGATTGCTTCTTCTTTAACTGAAAGATTTCTTCCGATTGTGCCTTTTCGTTTCCGCCACTTTTGTTCTTTTTTTAATATAGATATTCCCTACGTTCCTTACCTTTCTTTTTCCCTTCTCTTTAAATTCTCATTGTTTTGTGTGGCGCATATATATTTGGTGCCCCCCTGTACCAATATTTATGTGTTTAAATAAATAAATAAATAAACACCAACAAACATCCCATTTCGAGATTGGTTATGATTAGGGATATGTAGCATATATCCTAACTACTTTCATTGATGAAGATCCACAACCTGTCTAATCGAAAGCATCGTACTGAGATTTCAAGTACATTGAAGATCATATTGACTAGTTTTATTGACGGATTTCTATGAGTTATCAAAATTAAAGCTGTTCTAATTTGTTTCTATTATACAATTATTGTATACGCTTTCGTTCAGATATTTCAATTTTTTTCAAATTGAATGTTCATTCTACTCAAATATTGGCAATCAGTTATGCGAAACGTGGTCATTATGAGTAAAAGATATTCGTAAGTTACTAGTATTTGATCACAGATGTCCTAGAAATATTGCTCGCATCCGCCGGGACCAACGGGTTAGTCATGATGAGGTTAGACTCAGGGTATTAGGGAATGATGTTAAGTCAGTTGATAAGGTTGTAAATCTTCATCGACTGAGATAGTTGGTCCACGTGTTGCGTATGCCTGAACACCGATTACCACAACACAGTGCTGATTAGTGTTGATGGTTTGAATTAAGTTAGGGTCGGACGAACCAAAACGTGGTATCAGTCTATAAAGTTACTAACTTTCAGTCTGAGCCATGTTGGTACATGCAGACTACTTGGTTGGGGTATGCGTGACTATCGTATTTCCATTGTTGGAGACTAGGTTACATGGCTCTCAGTCGATCGCAATGGCGTAGGTGTATACACTCTCTGTCTTCCCTTAAACTGTGAGATATTAAACTTACTTTATACCTTTCTTTATACGAACCAATTCTTTCTTCCTGTACTATATCATTATACACAATCTTTCTTTTCTACATTACTACCATTGAAGTAACTGCTTCTATGAATTTGATGTTTATCTTGTTGTGATACTGAGGTGTAGCAACTTGGATCGATGCATATATGTGCCTGGTCTTACGTTGTATATAACTGAGTAAAATAAAAATCAAGAGACAAACTAATTGTAACTTTATTTTTTCTGTTTTTAACAGAAACTGAGAGTCGGAGAGCATGTGGTGACTATCAACTGAGTGTATCCAGTAATCCTGAATTTGAATTTCCTCGTGAGTAGTTTTAGTCTATTCTGTAGCGCTATTTTTAACTTATATATTTTATTTTCATGTCATGTGCATTTTTTTAAAGAGTTGCTGTCTACAATACTGAATTTCAGGTTAGTCTTTCTAAGTTTAAATGGATGATATCGTCGATTTTTTTTTATCTCTTAGGAATACGGCTCTTGTAATTTAAAATGCACTTTTTTGAAATAATCAGTATTTATACATAGCATAATCCTTCCTGTTTGTATGAAGCATAGTGGTAATATAATCAATTCCCAGATCTTAAAGTTTAATTTTGGTGAGTTAAAATTTGATCACGCGGCCTGTTTCTGTCATAAGCTAGATGTTTCAACCTTCAAAGTCACCGCCTATCACCGTTTGAACAATAATTTATTTATCTTTATTATGGTATAAAAAAACACGTTTAGATGTTAATGTAGACAAATCAAGATGAAAAAATCATGTGGTGTTACCACAATCATTACCACTACTACCACGTTGGGAGGAGAAAATAAATTTTATCGGGTTTAATTTCACATTGAATTCGTTAAATATGAAAACATTGCATTAAATACACCGTTTGTACGTCTTCCTTGAGTCGTCCCTTACAAACTCCATCTTTCCTCCATTCATGTTGTTACTCTGATTGACCTATGTTTTGTTTTCTCTTTTTCATATTCTTCTGTCAGTAAGAATTCTACTTCCAATTGCTGATACATACTTTAGTGTCGGTTACTATGTTATTCCCACGTATCTTATTCTAGCTTCTGAACAGATCAATTTATTCATTCTTCATGAGTCACATTTTGTCCTTTTCGATTATTCGTTTTCAACATTGACTGCTTTTATATATATATGTGTGTGCACTTCTTATCTTACTCATCACATATCTGTAACTTATTTTTGTTTTCAATTATAAATCTTGATTAACGCTTGATTAAGTCGAATTGGCTCACACGTCTTCTCCACCTCGTGTCATTTCGCTTTGCTCTCTTTACTTTGTTTTCTTCGCTTCGTTTCTTCAATCGTTTGTTTGGATCATCGATTATATGAAATACACATATTCAAAATTCATTCGCGCGTTTGCCTTACATAATTGAGTTATACACTAACTTGAGTTAAGTCGATGATTATACACGAGAATAGTCCAGATGTATATTTCGGCAGCAATTATTTCATAGCAATCAGAAACGATATAAATGGAGTCAGATATAGGACCACTAAAATAATACTTATATCTGTCCGTGAAACATACAACACACTACTACTGTAGTGAACAGAACACGAGTGGGGGACAATCGTATGTATTTGGCAACAAATTACAGAACTTGTTAATAAAATCTAACAAACATATAGTAAACTTTCAATTTGCAAAATGTCCATAAATTGTCTCAAAATGACTCAGACTTCATTGTTCTTGCATTTTCATACAAACTGCATTCTGTTTTCATTCTTTGCTGTTCGATCTTCTTGTCTCCCTGGTGCCAGACATTCCGTTCTCGACTAACGTCATATACTGCTTATGTCTTATTATTATTATTTCATTATTTATTTTAACATAGATATTGGTACAAGGAGGCACCAAATACATATGCATCACACAGATCTCATTTGATATATGTGAGGGCTGTGATACTGTCCGGGTTCCCAAACCGATGCAGGTGGTTTTCTTAGCGAGCCACATCCAGAGCCTTTGACCTAAATGTCTGACCCATAAGGCAGTGGAGCATCGTAAGGAGATGCAGTCCCATGGTAGCCGGTAACCAACGATTGGTTCATACGCCATTTGTTCCCTCAGGATACTGGAGCCCATGTACACCATTGGTTTGGGATCCGGTTAGAGCGCCGGAAATTCGCTTTCCGTCCTCTCATTTTCGTAAACAACACCTGTGCCACGAGAAGTCAGTGAGTAGGACTTCCCTGTCAGAGGCTATATACGCGTGGCCATTTGTGAGCATTTCGAGAGGGACAGCGGACTCTCCCCACCCTCGGCCGTACCACACTACCAATATTAATAAATAGTAATGATAAAAGGATGAAAACCTCGGTGAGAAATATTCCGATGTCAATGAAGATCATACATCTCATTATTTTCTAGGCATGTCATTGCATTAAAAAATCCAACTGAGTGATCACTTATATTGTTAATTACCCATAACAGTATCTTAAATCTCTAAGTTATTTGATCTTTGTGATCTCATTCCAAGAGTTGATAAGTTGGATGAGTCAATTCTGTCCTTTATCCCACGACTCCAATTCATAAAATAACTTATATTTAGGATGCTGTGCACATCACCTTCAGGTAACTGTTGTACTATATACCCTTGAAAGTTAGAGGTCGATAGAATGTAGTGTGGCAATATTTCTTCTCTTCAGCATTTCGCATCTACCTACATGTCTTCTGTTCTAAAGAATTTCATTCTCTGCTCTGACCTCACTTACCCTTATAGAGTCTCATACTGGTAGCAAACAACTATCCAGTGCTCTTTCAGGTTTTCAATGGTTTTGATAAAGACCAGTCCATTCTTTCCGACACTAATGAAATAATTCTCTTTAATCACTTAATCAGAAAGAGTAATGATTATTAAAATTTATTTATTAATTCTATTCCTATTTTTTCTATTTTTTTATTTCATCATCTGTGTGTAGCTATTATAAGCAATCAAAATTTAGTGCATCAAACACTTTTGGATGCTTTCATTTTCTCGACTGTAAAACTACGCTTTCCAGAAAGTTTGGTCACATTCTTAATTGGATTGTTAGCTGTTGAAGAATTCAAGGTTAATTATTGTTAACTTTGTTTTAACAATAATAATAATTTTTATTTTAATTATCATGGAAAATTATAACATTTACCTTTATTACTTATGATGATTGACAAATCACGTTATAATTACATCATGAATTAATTAACTAAATTGAAAATATCAGATGGGTTTTGTGGATATTATAGTAATTTCAATGGTTAAGATCATGAGTCAGTTGAAACTAGACCACCATGAAAAACCTGGAAGCACTGAACGGCGGTTTCGTTCTATTGCGGGACTCCTCAGCAGTGAGTTACTATCTCACAACAGACCTGGTTGAACTCCAATGGTCACTGCTTCTCACTAGAACTCCAGGATATACCTCTTGAAGCCAGTCACTTGTGAGAAGTAGTGACCGGTGGAGTTCAATCAGGTCTGTTGTGAGATAGTGACTCACTGAAGACAATGATGGATATGTCGCTTAATTCCGTGGATTAGTTGAAGGTAGACATTAACACCATTGGATGCCGGCTCAGTGGCCTAGTGGTTAAGTGCTCGCGGGCGAAACCAGTTAGTTGGTCCTGGGTTCGAATCTCGCAGGGGGCGATATCGTTGATGCGCACTGCTGAGGAGTCCCATAATAGGACGAAACGGCCGTCCAGTGCTTCCAGGTTTTTCATGGTGGTCTAGTTTCAATTGAATCATGATCTTAACCATTTAAATTGAAAATGTCAAATCATTTGAATTAGTCTCAAAAAGTGTAGGTGAATAGCCAAGTTCAATTTTTCTACTTATTCTCATATGTTTTTAATTCTTGTGAATGTATTCGTGTTTTTTTATTATTTATTAATCAGTCATTCGCATTGTAGAATCTGGTACATGTATACATCGGTCCAAATTGTCATACTCAATTTAGCTCAGAAAAATGAATTTGTTAGGACAAATTCTACGATAGAGAAGAGGACGATAGTATTAGGGATGTAGAATAGATTATACATAAAAGATGATTTTAGAAGAAAGTATGAATTGGTATAATAGAAAGTTTTTTTATTTTTAGAAATCTAAGATCTGAGCGAACAGATAGACTGAATATACCTGCGTTATTGCAAACAATTTTGAGTTACATCACTTTTAATCTAGTAAGGTTAAAACTGTATGAATTTTTACTGTATTCTCTTTCAATAAGAAAAAGAGAATTCAGCGAAGGAACTTTTCTTTTGGACAAAATCATTTACTTATGCTGTACATCCGTATATTATGTTTATCATTTTTTTCTCTTATGTGTACATTTGTACGATGATAGTCAAGTTTAATATTTTTTTGATTTCAATCTGTCAATTTATAAATCATATCATCTCGATGTAAATGGCGAATTTCAATGTTGTTTTTATCCATTAGAGCTGTGGAAATCATTTTTGATTAATTTCACTCTATATTCGTTAATTTTACTTTTAAATAACGATTCTTGAAGTCTTCAAGAGCCTGTTGTAATAAAAAAATGAATATAAAAGATATAAAAAAGGTGTGAACTTGTACGACAGCTATCTTAGACTAAAATGAATCTATTTCCTAGTACTCCACTTTTTCCAATAGTTATCCAACTAGTGTCATTACGGAATATAAAACATGTCAGTTTTTTGGATCCACTTCAATCGCTACAAATCATAAGAGTAATTAAAATTATAGACTCACCACAATATATCGTTTTTTTCGTATATGCCGATATACTTTATTCCATTTTCTCTTTATTGTACCATAGGAAGAATTTATTCAATCCTATCTTAATCATTACACACGTATAGCTTCAACTGTTCTACTTTCAGCACGTGCACGTATTTCACCTGAATGGTCTTTACAAATGAATAATCGTATTGTACATATATCAGTACAATTGTTTAGTGGTGAAGAATTAGCTTTACGTGTAATTAAACAAAGAAATCTTCATCATCTCCTTGTACATTGTTTACTAAATATGTTAACATGTTGTCGTACTGTAAGTTTAGAATTAATTAATTTCAGTGACATGATTTTTTGATAAGTAAATTCATTCGTCAATCAGTCAATTCATTTATTGTAATTTACGATACACTTTAACATTGATCAAGGTTTGTTTAACAAAAGTTAAAGTTCCACCGTTTTGTTGGATAATAAATTTTCATCTTGACATTATATATATATATATATATATATATATATATATATATATATATATATATATATATATATATATATATATATATATCATGGAGTAGACTGCAAAAAAAAACAGTTTATATCAAACCACAATTTGTTTAATGTTTTATCATTGTTACTGTTTATCAATAGAGATATAGTCTAGAGCAGATGTATGCTCAATATAAAGTTGAAAAAGACCACATTTAACACACAATGTCTTTATTGTAAATAGAATTCTATGTAGTTTCAATTGTAGAAGTAGTCGACTCGGACATTAGTAGTTGTGAATGTAGTAAGTCTGTTTGATACAGTGTGATTACATTCTTTTTGAGTCAGAAATGTATGATCGTTTCACATTTCTGAGCATTGATTTCCAGTTTTTCGGGAAACGTGGTCATTTGGAGAACTTGTAAGTAATCTATTTTAAGTTATACATATTTTATTGAAAACAAGTGTTCCAAATTATGTAATTCGATCGATCAAATGAAGACTAAACCTTAGATACATTCACTTTCTCGATAATATCATCGGATGACAACTAGAAACAAGGAAAGCTCTTACAATCGTATATTGTTGTGAATTACCAGACTTGATCACAAGAAGATCAAATGAATGTAAAGAAATTAAAATAGAATGAAAACAGTGATGCAGCTATTAGTAAGCGAAAATTACTACAAATACCACAACTTCACCAAACGGGACCAAGAAAACACTGAAGTGAATTGTAGTGGTGATTGTTTATTTTCGAACCATTTCAGTTGATTCGGATCATAAAAATCTTTCGTATCTAGCACGACTCTATATTTTTCGGAATAGTGGCTTAGTGGCCAAGGCGTTCGACTCTCCGTCACTAAGTTCCAGGTTCAAACTCCCCTTCGTCTACCTTGGCACAACCAAATACTATCATTAGCCCTCACTCTCAGAGTGTGACTCATATTATAGTACCTGGTAAATAATTTAATTTTTAATACCCTACATTTGACTTCAGCATTACTCAGGTGTTTTTCTGATTTGTATTTATGATTTTATAAAATTAGTCGTTGATGGTTTGGAGCTCTTGCACTAGTGAAGTTCATTTGACCCTTAGTCTTGTTATCTATCTAATTGTATATTTCTTTTAAAAAAAGTAACTTTATTTTACTTGTTCATGAGACTTTACGGGGGAAAATGTAACTCAGTGATTATATACTCCTTCGCTCGACTTAATACTGCCTCTACATAACTCGTCAATTAGAAATATGGTAGCTTTAGAAATTCAAACTCAAATTTTATCGAGTTGCTTTTTTTATCCCAATGAAGAATAAATGAATGGTAACTGCTAAGTCTTATTATATGTGACGATAGTCCACAGCTCTTATTGAATAATTATTAAGTAACTACATTGTAATGGCTGGTACTACGTCTAGCTTAGCCTACATGGGTTATTCTAACTTCCAGACAGACCAGTTTATTCATTATTCTTGGGTCATATTTTGACAATAATCGTTTATTCGCTTATCAAATGTTGACTGTTTTATCCTGTTCAAAACATATCTGTAACCTGTTTTTGTCTGACTATGAATATTGAGTCACACTTGGTTAAATGGAGTTGGCTCACGTGCCTTCCCGATTCGTTTCGCTCTCTCTTCACTTTACCGCTTCTTATTCTGAATCTGTCTGGATAATTGAATGCCTGAAATAAATTCCTCCAATGCCACCCGTATTCAGCTTCTTATTATCGCCGTCATACAAACGGGGATGGCCTAGACAATATACGGAGTTAAATGGAAGATTTATATTCATAGCATATTTATACGTTCATCAAAATTGGTGTCAGATCAGTCGGAACCAATAAAACATATTCATATTGATATTTCCTTTATCATGAGCTGTCATCTAACCTTATTGGCTACTGTTATACGATTTACCATCCGTAATTTATTCCCAATCTATTAGTTACAGTCTTTCATATTCTGCCACTTTTGGCTTAAACTAGTATAATTATTACTTTTCATTTTATGATGTGATGCGGTCTGATCTCCTTGTATAATAGACCACTTATGTCTGAAGTACATGATTCATGTTGCGGAGGCTGGTATTTGTGTTCTGAACTGGGCTAGATGAGAAGCCATTATACAGAGACCAATAAGAATTCAGAGTTGACTCAAGGCAATTGGTGTTGGTTGACGTGAAATTAATGTAACACAGCGACAAGATTATAGAAGTCTATATTCTGATTGGCGATTGTGTCACGTGGTAATGGACAGGAGAATAAGTCGTAATATCTCTTTCCTTAGAATGTAAGTTAATCGAAATTGCGGTATTTGACCAACTCAGCTGTTGTTACGTTATTGATGAAAGAATAGAGATTCAGTCTGTAATAGGAATCCAGTTCTGGAATCCTGGCTCTAAGTACATTTTAGCCTACTTCATCGTCAATCTCACATACATATGGTTACTAACGTTAGTAATAACGGTAAGTTAATAGGAGATTCAATTAAAGTTATTGTAAGATTTGACACGAACGTGTATCAATTCAATTTACCATGGATACTAAATCACATTAGTATAGCAACAAAAGATATAAATAAAATGAAAAAGTGATTGTGAAATTAGATAAAACATCTTCAAAGGTATAATTACAATTTGTAAAATGATGTATTTATGCATCAATACCTAAATTGTTAAAAAAAGAAATTGTAGTTTTAGGAGTCAAACATTGGTTATACTAACTGTTTAATAATTTTTCCATTAACTTATAACTTATTTTTCAAAGCACAATCTCTTGAGAAAATTTCATTTTTATGTATTTCTCGTACTCTATTCATTATTTTAATAGCGTTTAGACGATCGAAGCAATATGGTGCTTAGTTGTGATGGGATATTTATTCAAAACAATGTATTTTGGCCATTCGTTTCAGATCTTAGTAATTTAGTTTCTCATAAATCAATAGTTGATATTCTTGTTGAAGACGCAGATTTTTTAAATGCATGGACTAAATTAATACGATATATGCAAGTATGTTTTCTTTATTTACTCCCAATAACTTCTTTATTACTGTTGTTTAATGTGTTTATTTTATTATTTTATTTTATTTTAACACATAGATATCGGTACAATAAGGCACCAAATACATATGCGCCACACAGATCTCATTTGATATGTGTGAGGGCTGTGATACTGCTCGGGTGCCCAAACCGAAGCAGGTGGTTTTATTAGGGGGCCACACCCTGAGCCTTTGACCTGAAGATCTGATCCACAAGGCAGTGGAGCATCGTAAGGAGATGCAGTCCCATGGAAGCCGGTGACCAACGATTGGTTCATACGCCATTTGTTCCCTCAGGATACTGGAGCCCATGTGCACCATTGATTTGGGATCCGGTTATAGCGCCGGACATTCGCTTTTCGTCCTCTCATTTTCGTAAACAACACCTGTGCCACGAGAAGGCAGTGAGTAGGACTTCCCTGGCAGGGGCTGTATACGCGTGGCCATGTGAGAGCATTTCGAGAGGAGGAGCGGACTCTCCCCACTCTCGGCCATACCAGGGCATTTGGGGGCTCAGAAAACGTACGGTTTAGGATTATTTCGTAGGCATTGATAGTTATATTTAAGTGTAGGTATTGCCCAAAGCTTCTAATTATTAGTAAGTGAACAGAAAAGTCATTTTTGGGGATGATGTTCAGAAGATATTGTACCCTATTTATTCATTAAGATTGTTACTCCTAGTAGGCCATAGGTCGCCAATCAGGAATTCCCAACCTAATCTATAATGTGCTCTCCTTTCCAGTTGTTGTCAAGTTCTATTAATTCTTTTGATGTTTTGTCCTATGGATCAATGAATATCACCTTCCGTAAAAATTTCAAATTCTATGTATACTGAGTCATTCAGTCAGTTTTAGCGTAGGACTTGCTATATTCGTACGTCCGTTCAGGATTCCTCATCATTTCAACATGGAAAGATGAAATTAACAGGATACATAAAAAAGAATTTAGAATAATAGTAGTGTCAATCACTATAATAAAGACTAAACATCAAGTTTGGATAAAAATTATAGAATAATGCAGACTGAAGATTCCAGGGATGCCATTGTTACATCCCGACGAGAATATTGAATGGTAAACTTTGGGATCCATTTATGGACTAATCCTGTACAAATATATTTATTGTATAATTGTTAAGTGACTAAACTATGCATATTCATGTTCCTTTTATTATAAGCTTTATTTTGACCCATGTACTATTATTATACGATTTACCGTTATTAAGTTATGCCTAGTATATTAATCGCAGTCTCACAGTCACTTTTGGCTAGATCTTGTACAAATGTTGTTTTCTATTTATGGCGTGGTGTGGTCTGTTTGGCTTGTATATAAACCAAGCATGTTCGAAATAATTGATTCACACAGTGGAAGCTGTTATTGTATTTCTGGACTCAACTGGAAGGGCTAGGAGAACAAAAGACTAATAAGGACGCTGTGTTGCTTATACCAATTTAACGTCATTGGTTTGTCACAGTACTAAGATTGTATAAGAGGCATTTCGATTGGCGAATAGATCACGTGATACGTAGCCAGGCTCTAAGACACAACAGTCATATTATTCATTGTATCTAAATGTTTCTTACGATTATCGTGTGGAGGTCAACCGAGCGGTTCACACTTCCCGTACATAACTCCAACTAACAGTCAATGTATATGGTACACTATTTCAACAAATATGTTGGTTAGTTAATTAGGCTTCTAAAGACTCAGTTTATGGTCTAATCTTTTCTTAAGTATTTTAGATGGTGTAATCAGAACCAACATACTCTCCCCAGTCTGTATATCCACTAGTATATATTTGAGATAGAATAATAATGAGCGTATTAATAATGAGTATATTTAATATTATATGTTAAATGCATTATGAAATTCTCAGTTTTCAATATTTCAACAAGTCTCTCTTACCCTTCTTGCATTACAAAGAGGAAAATAATTGACCATCGCATATATATAATAATAATAAAACTATCTGGAATTAGAGGAAATGTCTTTTAAAAAATGGGAATCTATACAACTGTGAATTAACTACATGTTCATGAATATAAATTTTTGATTAGCTCAGCACTTGCAACCTGCTTATCTTGTAGTATATGTGCTGTATATGATATTGTAGAACATTCACACGTTTACTTGCATAGATCCTAATTTATCTGCTTCTCGTTCTACCAGAAGATATACAGGTGAAAAGTTGTGAGTGGCGAGTGGATGATTCGTATCTGATAAAATAACACTTGGCCAGGAGTTTGTAAGATTTTAAGTATCATTCTACAACTATATTCATAATGACATCAAAAGATTCACCAAAATGCTTACTAATTGTCTTCAGAACTCTACAACACAGGAAAATATTTCCTCAAAAGCTTAGGAAAGAATAATTGAAAACAGTAAACAATAATAGATAATATGCAGGAATTTACAAACCGCAAAAGTAGTTATCAAACAGTGCCAAAAGCATGGAGCCTTTTATACAATAAGTCAAACGAATGCCTTTTTCATGTCAATAAAACATGAGAAGATCAAGAGAGATCAGAGAGAAAACTTGCTTCAAGATAAACGACGTCTTTGTTTTTATTACAGAATCCCAATAGTACAAATTCCATGGGATGCTAACAGGTCGTCTAAGCTCTGTTCGTGTCTCAGGCTAAGATTGGAAGTTCGACATTAAGTGCAACACTATTAAAAAGGGTCATCGTTCAGTGAATGCTAAGAACTCATTCATTTCATGGGAACCTGAAGAGGAATAAATTGAGATACTTACAACAAGAATATCCGCATACGTAACAAGTGTTTTTGTGAAATATGGTAGATCGTGCAGAAAAAATGAGAAATGTAAAAAGGGGGAAAGAACAAATCCTATGATTTGCCTGTGAAGTGTTAGCTTGACTATCAGTTTATCCAAACTTCTTTTCATTTTAACCTCCTTACTTAGACCATTCACTTCACTTACCTTCATTTGATAATAGTACCATTTCTATCTTTCCCCTATTTTCGATTAAAACTAAAAATCGTATTTCTACTAATTATTTTTTTTACAGTTTATGAATTGTTTTACAATGAAAGAGGGAAATCATATCGAATATGAAACAATGACATTTTATCATGCATTTACAATGGAAGTTGAAATTAGTTCAGCTACAATGTGGAATTTTTGGAGACATTGTCGACTTCCAGTATGTTTATTATTATCATTTTGATTTTATACTACTTGTTGAAACTTAAGTAATAGTTCTATGTAAGACATAAATGTACATTTTCTCTAGTGCACAGAACTTTACATTTCACTTGATAACTTTGTCTAATTCTATGAAAAATATGCTTGATTCCTCCAGTATGTTTCCAAATTTGTTGTTAACTGCTCAATGATCGTCTAGCTAGTGTCAATGTGCAATTTAAACTATCTGGATGTTGAACAATATTCGACAAACCTCCCATGTTAACACCATCTATATTTGTTGTCATATTTGTATGTAGACTACAATACTGCCTGGACTGAAACAGGTGGTGTCCTGTGGAGATCAATCGAAGAGCCTTTGACACAAAATTCCAATGTACAAGGCAATGAAGCAATGTCAAGAAAACGTAAAGAGATGATAGGAGGTGACCGACATTGTTACGTATGCCATTCGTCTCTTTAGGACCGTGGAACATATTCACGCTATTATTTTGGGATCAAGGTTTTCCAACTTTCATAGGTGAATTCTTCATATCCTTTAACTGAGTCTAAGATCCGAATGTCCACCTTTAGTTATTCCACCTTCCGTCACGTGTAGGTAGTAAGTTGTAATACTCTGGCAATGGCTGTCAACACATAATTGTATGAGAGAGCACTTAACGTGAAAGAGTAGACTATCGTCACCCTCAACCATACCAAAACACTAAATTGGATACATTTTTATCGTTTAAAATATATAAAGCGTCGGTCGCAATGAAACTATTGGAGGTTTTACATAATATTTTGCTTACTTGGATGGTCCTAGTATATAATTTCACGGAGGAATATTTTATTTACCTATTTTGATATTTCTTTTTTCAAAATAGTTTATGATCTTTTATTTTTGTTTTCAAGGATAATATAAGCTTGCTTGATTTCCTTTTTCACATATATTTCAGTCTGAACGCACACATTGTTTATTATATACTAAAGCTTGTTTATCAACATTAGCTGATTTATTGAATGGACTTGGTCGATTAATTAGCCCAACTGTACCAGAAACTCGGCCAACACGTTCTGCTCTTAGTCTTCATCTACCATTGATGCGTCATGTTTCTTGTTTTATTCATTTATCCACTATGCAACATGGTGTCAATGTAAGACAATTATTAGTTGATTATCTTTTACCGAAACCACGTCTATTACGACGTTTTATGGAGCACTTAGTTAATATTTTGGTAAGTAGTTGTTTCTTATCTTTTGAATATATACAAACTTATATTTTATTTTAAAGATAGTTTTGTATCATAGGATAAATACTTCATCTTAATTTAAGAAGATAGCAATTAGTGCACACTTTTGAATCTGCACGCAATTGCATTCGAAGAACTTCAGATGATTTTGGAGTTTACGATGAAGATTAGCTTCAAAATAAAAAAACTCATAAAAACTCTTTTACTCAATAATATGTTTTATTGTTGAAATTTCTTAATTGTGTTGAAGGGGTTTTATGGAGATTAGTTTAATTTGCAGATTGTAATCAGCACAGATTGATCTCATTCAGAGTACTATTTAACACTAGAATGCATTAAATAGCTAGTTCATCCTAGTAAAAGTATTACTCGTCAGGGGGCACTCATGGCCATGTTTGAGATGAAACCAGTAACCTTTATATCTTAGGGTAAATACTTAATCGCTCTGACCTTAGGATCGACGTTTCATGGTATAATTTAAACTCCAATTGGTTTATGATTTAACGCAACGATCATCTAACGTCATTAGTCATAACCATTTTACTTTCAACTTATCGAGATTGTTTACCATCGGATGCCAAACCAGTTTTCTGTTGGTTAAGCGTTCATCTTATAACTTGATGGTCTTGGGTTTGACTCCCGAAGGGGTCGTGAATGCTTACTGTTCTCGAGCCACACACCAGGACAGAATAATTGTCCAGTGTTCTCTGGTTTTCAATAGCACTCCAACTGAGATAACTTTATGGTCATTGCAACCTGCAAGTTATGTAGTTTAATTAACCAATTTTTGGTCTTTTCATTTCTGTTAGGTCTTTCTTTTTATTACTACCGTGAATAAATTTATCTTGATTGAAAAACTGTTAAGTAGAGTAGTTCAGTTTAGATCTTAGTGGTTCGTTAATATTTCTCATTTCGCTAACCTAACTGCAATCGGATAGACTAATAAGTGAATAAATACATACATACATTTATACATAAGCCATATGAAGCCTTTCTTGCAAAGTGTAGGATATTTTTTTGCCTGTCATTCTAGTCAATTTATAGCTATAACAAAAATATCTGAGTGATTCACATGTTTTGATGTTAGATTTATTCAATTTGTCAAACTGTTCATTGTAATCACATGTTTATCTCGATTACTAAGAAAAGCTACTTATGATAATTAAAAGGATAGGTAATCTATATCATAGATCTAGACTGTTGTCCTTAAAGCGGTTCAGTCACATGTTTCGTAAACAGTGAAGATATTTATTATCTAGCTTAGTATCACTGCAATTTCATATTGTCATGAGATTATAACAGTTTACTCACTTTAGCCTTATCAACTGTTCCTTCTATCGATTGTTCAAGCTATTTCTTTTTGTCTAGAAAGTATGTAACAATATAATGACCGATTCCTATCGGCAATAGTACTTCAATAACCAATGTTTTTGTTATGCCATTTTCGGCATCAAGTTAAAATAATTGCCAGCTTTTATTTATCACGAATATTTTTCCTCAAATCTTTTGCTTTTCTTGTCGATTATTCCTTATCTATTTTAGAGCCTTATGGAAGTTAGTTCATTTAGAGTAACATTAGAATCTGGTGTTTATTAGACAGTTGTTTCAGTTAAATTTTGGACTTCTCAGTTATGTTCATTCACAGATTTCACAGGTTTCATAACGAGACGGTTACTTTCAGTGAACTGATTTGAAATTCAATATTCACTTATATCAATCTGTCATGAAGTTAATGTACATAATTACTTTTGTTTATTTATGAGGGCGCATTTTATTGATTTGTTTATCGAAAATCTTTCCTTTCCTTCAAGGTCACGGAAACATCTGTTTTATAAATACAATATGTATTGACCACTCTGCAATCGATTTTTGAGTAATTCATAGTTCCTAGGTTCATAAGTTTGTTGAAGATAATAATACTATGTTTCAAGTTAGTTATTGTTTTGCGTATAGTTCACACACTTGCATTGACTTAATTATTCTCTCTGGATTTGTTATTTTCCAAAATGAACTGAACCTATTCGAAGCTTGTGTGTTATACTCAACTCTAGGTATCTGTCTATAATAAATCCCTGTATTCTTTAATGTTGATTTATAATTATCGTTGAAATTTTTTCTTAGTTTAAATAACAAATTACGTACAACTCATTTGATAAGCACAGATATTTGTGTACATTAATTTTTATACGATATACATGGTTCGAACTAATTCTGATAGATCGTTTTTGAATTCTTGACCTATTGATCGACCATTAAGACTAGAATTACTAAGTAATGGAACCATGTGTGATATATATGTATACACTTATTTAAAAATATCTATTTTCACATTTTTCTCAAATAATCATTTCAATTTCATCTATAGTTAGGTTGTCATGAAGTGCTTATTGGTTATTGGATACGTAATGGTCAAAGTGTTAGACAATCAGTCTCACATTATATGCAAAGTCAATTTTGTTATTCATTTATTGATTTGGATATATTTGCATTACAAGTAAACCAGATTTTTATTAGCTTTAACTTATCTGTTTATTTATCCATTCTATAATAAAATAATTTTATTGAATTCCATTCTACGAAATATGTCTGTCAATTGGTCAGTCGGCTGAATGACACACATGCAGAATGACCCTTCACTCTTTCTTTCACTGTAGCACTAATGACTTTCGACTGAAGCATTATTTCAATAAGTAATATGTGTCCAGGCAGAGAATGATGGTCATTTTTTAAAACGATGTATATAAGCGAACAATGCTGTTTACAACTAGATCTTCATCAAGCTAAACTATAATATTTAAGAATATTTTTATGAGAATATTAAATTGATCAAGACAATTTATTATGAGTCATTGGTCACAATGAACTTAGATTGCATAAATATACATAATAGGCAGGAATTACAAGGCAAATGTACTAGAATAGTGGACGCTAATCACAAGGTTATAAGTAGTGTGTAGGGGAATGTGGTATCGGAGTTGCAACAATTGTCGGACGGAGTGATGAGTTTCAGTATGTCGAAAGTGTGGCGTTGGCATAACACGTACATACCAGACGAGAAGACAGTTCAAATCACAGAACACACCGAAAGATGTAAATGGAAGTCTAAAGGCTATGTAGGCTATTGTGGACTCCTCAGCAGTGAGCATCCACGATAATGAACCCCGCGAGATTCGAACCCAGGACCTAGGAGTCCCATACTAGGAAGAAACGGCCACCCAGTGCTTTCAGGTTTTCCATGGTGGCCTAACTTCAATCGAATCATGATTTCAACTATTGAAATTACTACAATCTCCACAAAACCCCTTCTTATATTAATGAATATGCTTGAATATTTCTTAATTTAATATTGTAGTTATTTATATTTATTTGTACAAGTGTATGCATCAATATAAATGTCGATGATAAATAATTTTAGTTTAGGAATCATTTGATTACGATTGATATATTATGTTGGATTGTAGGGGTTAGTTGCTAACATTTTGTTTATTGAAATAATCATGTCAAATTTAATTTCTACAAATGATTCCTTAATTACAAAACATCAACTTAAAAAAATACATACTACAGGAGGGAATTAGGGCCTATGAAGGATGAGCGATTGTACGTATCGTTTTTGTACTACTGAGGTATTGGCGATCCACCAATTCAAGCCGGAACTTTGCTTACAAAAACGATACGTCCAAACTCTCATTCTTTTTTGGCTCTAATTCTCTTCTATAATGTTTTTTTTTAAAGTTAGTGTTAAGTAATTTCAAATCGTAATCACTTATTATAATTCTTGAATCGAAATCATTTAAAAGGCAAGTAAGATAAATATTTTTTCTCTAGGTTGTAGATATATCTAACTGATGAATGTTTTTCAAACAGGATGTTTTTTAATTGCCTGTTATCACATGAAACTTTAATCTATGCTTTATAGATTAGATGGATTGTAGCTAAATGTGGAATCTAAAAAACGTGTTTCGTTGTAATTGGGATAGGAAAGTTGGGTGAAATTATATATATATATATATATATATATATATATATATATATATATATATATATATATATATATATATATATATATATATATATATATATATATATATATATATATATAAAACAGTGTTAATATTCGCACTTGAACTCGAACTCAGGACCTCTCATTTCAGTTGTTTTTACATTATTCATGAATTTTGGACAGCCTCCAAACAAAGGATTTGATGTTTATATCAATATTAGTAAGAGTTTAAGTTATCGTACTATTGATATTTGGGACAGCTTTTATTAGTCGTTGTTGACGTAAGACGAAACTGGTAGCCAGAAACTGAACAAAAGTCAATCCTGAACATCAATATTAGAACTATAATCGTTACTGTTACTAATATTTAGTACATGTGTTATGCTTTTTTAGAGAAGTGTTCGTCGCTTTATTATTATTATTAATATCAATATTGTGTTGTTTTTTCCCCATAGGTATGTACCGCTTTGTTACCGCCTGCATATTTTTTGAATGCTTTAGTCGATCAAACAAAACTATTAAGAGGAATTTGTTTTCACAATGAATTGTTAAGCTTGGTTTCAGAACCGGAAGTGAAAAATCTTGACCGTAAACCAATGGCTTTACAAGCTTGGCTAATTAATTTGTGTTGGATATTGGATTTACGTAATAATCTAGGTTAGAAAAAAGTTTATATATATATAATGTTGATCGACCTTAATTAGATAAGCATCAATAATCAAGAAGGACTGGACAACTGTTTCGTGCTAGTAGAAGTTGTGAAGAATAATTAAAAAGCAGTACGAAAAAGTAGAATGATAGATTATGGAACGTAGAAAGGGAGGTTAGGACCAGTAGAACGAGTGATTATTCGTTCTATTTTTGTACTCAAATCTTAGGGTTGAGTCAGTGGATAGCTCTGATCTCTTTTGTACACAAGTATTTTTTAGAAATGATTTTTCTGACTGTATGGACGATTTTAAAGGAGTATTCTGGTGAAACACAGCAAACAGAATTAACTAGATGCCCCAAGATTGAGCTTCTAAATGACTTTTTTAGTCATGACTGTCTGGAATAAATGTAGATGAGACCGAACCAGGGTGTAGTATGAGTCCATAAAGTCAGTGACAAGTGAACTAGGTCATGTTAGTGGATGTAGACTCCTTAGTTGGGCAAGCTTGATTATCGCAACTGTTGGTTAGAAACTTTGATTGACAAGGCCTAAAATTGTTTGCATTGGCTCAGTTGCATCCATTAATTGTTTTTCTCCAACTTCTGAGCTTCTGAATTGCTCATAATGTTTTTCATGTCTTTACTTCATTGTTTGTTTGTTGTTAAATTGTATTTTCGATGCGTAACCTTTTCTGTTATCACTAATACTGTTACTATCTTTACTATTGTGAGATTCGGTCCTGACAATATCATCTCTGTGTAAGTGGGTTGTGTCAGATGGAACCGATGTACATACGTACGACGTTCAACGTTGCAACAGATTGATCAACTGGTCTACCTATTTCTCGTCATATTTTTGACGTCTTATTACTTTTGAAGTGTGTGGAATTAATTCAAATCCTTTATTCATTATTTTTCGTCCACTTGTATTTATTTATTTAGGACTAACCGAAGAAGAATTATTACAGAAAGAGCTTGTTTCTGTGTTAGCTCCAGAGCCTAGAAAACGTAGTGATTTGTCTATTCTAATTCCTGAACGTTGTGGTATTATTAATCCATCAAATAATTTAGATTCAGTATTGAAAAAGGTCAGTAATCTTTCTTGTTTTTTTCTCTCTATAACATCTCTCTTTATAATATCTATTAAATCATCATTGAAAGTTTGTACGTGTTTCTATGTCTGTACAGTTTTCTGCTTATATTGTAAACATCAAATAGGTGTCTAAATTTTTAGTGATTTTTGACTCCAAATCGTCTAAAACTACAGAATTTTATTCTTACGGAAATTCTATTATTGATAAGACTTGATCGTTTTGTTTATTCTATTTTTGTTACAAAATACTGACTATGGATATCATTTCATGTGGGAATCGATGCTGAATTAATGTCGTAATAACATTCTTGTACATTTGGAAACAGATTCATTTTAATCAGTTGTTTATTTATATGTATGTTGTCAATTTGTTAGTTAGTTGCTATCTATCTAAGCGAAAAAACGATTTTTTAAAATACCTTTCTCACATTTTATCTTTTTAAATTCATATTCACCTCTTCTCGACTTGCCGTATTTTAGTGTTTTTTTTATTTAAAATCGCTTTCTCAGGTGGCTACTTATTCTGCACCGTCATGTGATGAAACTTCCGGTAGTCTTATCAGTGGTCATTATTACCTTCGGCCTAGTTTATGGCATACTGATTTCGATCCGATTTTTCACTTACTTCGTGTAACTAGTCGAAGAGAATCAAGTCTAGCTATGGAAAAATATCGGGAACAGTGAGTTTTCATATTTTACTGCATGGTTGTATATTATTCTTTGTTGTTTTTTTTATTTACCACATTTTATTTACACATTGCAACTATCTGAAATGAAGTAGGTACGATTCAACAATGTTAACTTGTAACTCAACTGATTGAAGCTGAATATATTAATTAGTCGAACATTGTTTAATGTGGTTAAGCTAATAACTGGTTCTTAGTGAAAATGTGTACTTTCAAGATGTACGCATGATGTGATTACAAAGTGATCATACTAATGCAAATATTTACTTATTATGGTTCTTCCATTTCATTGATCGCTCCTCATCTTCGCTTTTGTTTCATTCATCGGTCTAAACATTTCACTGTTAATACTATTAGACGATTTTTTTAAATGTGATGAATGCATTATTTCTTAATTATCTTATTTATGTTGGTTCTTTTTTATTTTCGATCCTCTGTTCTTCTAATTTTCACTTGTACTTTTCAAAATCTTTTTTATCAGTTATAGGGGAATGACTATTTAGCCATTTGTTTATCGTAAAAACCAAGATGCATTGTATTAGCAGTTTTCAAAATATTTCTTTTACAATCCTTGTAGTGGAATCCTCCTTTTTTGTCTCTTTTTGATTGGTGAAACGTTATTGACCAGGGCGATACTAATATTTGTTACATATAGCCTAGAGATTGGCTATTACATTGTATTGTCTTAATTGGAAAAATGATAGGTGAGGTTAAATCAATACAGTCAATATCAGTTCATTCAATGATTAAGTGTTTGTCTAGTGTGTGTGTTTTAGTTAAGAGTTTCATACTTGTATTGAGTTTGTGAAATAATCATGGTATATGAATGAAGATCATATATAAAATGCTTTGTAGTTGATTACAGTGGCACAGGTGCATTCTTCATTTCATCTTCTAAATTATGAGCTTTATTATTACTCTTTACTTTCACCATTGTCTTTTAAACTGTGTCCTTGGTGTATATTCATCTTCCACTATCATTAATTTTATTATTTGTACTATTTCGCTTTTTATCATTTTAATGTTATTTCTTTATACTAATGTTGTGATGTGTAACAAGTTGAACCGATGTATATGTATCATCTAGATTGTACGTTTTTATGATTGCCTAGCAATTAGTAGCTTATGAAACTTTCATGAAATTATTAATTTAGAAATCCTCAGTATGATTCAAGTATTTTTCAATATTACTGATAATAAACTTACATACGTTTTCATAATTAATAACTTCACAGAAGATTGTACTTGGAACTTTAGAGAAAGCTTGATGAGCAAAATAAGTAACTAATAAAGTTTCCATCACGGTCTAACCTTGGACAATTATTAAAATCGGTAACCACCAGGGAGATGTTTTGTCCCACTAAATGACTCTTAAGCAGTGCTCATCCGAGACATCACTGTGGATCGGATTCAAGACCTTCAGGCCTGTCGGATAGCACCTAAGGTTTAGGTCACTGAGTCAGTCGGCATCCGATGGTTCAAATTCTAACTCCGATCAGTCAACAGTATTTCGCAGTTATTTTTCATTTCCGTTAGTCGGTAATTGTCTTACGTTCAACATGGTTAAGCTTCATTAGTTGCGGCTTTTCATTGGAACTGCAGGAATCACTTTTCGAAGTTAGTCACTCCTAACCACATAATTACTTTTAGTATGAGGGATTTGTGTAGATTGTCAAGTTTAACAATCCACATCACGGATTAACCTTATTCAATCAATTCTGTATATCTCACAAGGTCAGTCCATGATGCAAATTATAAAATGCAATCATCTTCGTAAACTCTGCATGCTAGTTACTCATTGAGTAGTCAATTTTAAAAACTACCTCGAATAATCATTTTCCTGCGAATCCCATCGTTTGAAAACGACGAAAAAGTAAACATCTAATAAACATGTATCTATTATTAGATTGTCTTATAGTATGAATATTAATCTTCGTTGTTTGATTTCTTTCCTTATGGCTGAGTGACTGATCATAATTATTGTTATTATTATAATAATATTATAAGATTATGATAATAATTATTAATATTTTAGTTGTCGCCAACGCCATGGTGTTACAAATATGTCTTCATTGTGGCCACCATTTCGTAAACCCAAGCAATTGCCACCAGATTTCCGTGGTCTGGATCATGTACTACATAGTCGTCATTTACATTATATCATTTTTATACAACTCAGTTTAGTAAGTTTTACCCATGATATATATATGTTCATGTATAAAGAGATGGAGATTTGCAGCTCAGGTGGATGATTTTGATAGAGTTTTGTTCTCTGAGCTGGACTTCTACCTGAAGTTTGTGCTGATGATGTCGCTCAGAAGAATAATGAAAGCTCCACGACCAAACCATCCATCTCACAGAACAAACTCCATCAAAATATATTTAATTTGTATAACTTACTATTGTGATTTAGTTCAGTTTCTTTGAAGTGTGTATATCCTTTCCATGTGCTACATAGTGCATTGATTATATGAATATGTAATGATAATCATGAAACCCTCTTTCAATAGGACCTATTAATATATACATATAATGGTAAACTCTTTGAAAAGATGTGATTCGTAAATTGTTTTAACTGGATATTTGTTTCAAAAATTTTTATGACATGAAGCTGGTGAAATCTAAAATCTGAAGTGACATCTTCAACGGAGCATGTACTCTAACATTCATCAGTTTTATCAATATATAGTTGTCCTTAGTAAATATTGACGGAAAAACATAAGTGCGTTACAAAAGAACGCTACATTTAGAAGTCAGTATTTTTTATCAGGAGGAACTTGCGAATCAAGTTTAAGAATAAACAGTATAGCAATGGATATCTCAATATGGGGTATTTATAATTATCTGCAACTAGAAGGAGAAAAACGAAAACAGCGAGCATGGAATATTAGCTACACAGAAATGAATTAGTATTATATGTTTGTCATCAAATATGTGTTTGAGTGTTTCGTGATGTACTGATTAAGATTTTATTTGAACCAATAAATGGTTCTACATTTATCGTTTTGATAACAATGTAAATGATACAATCAAAATGAGATAGGTTTCAGATTAGCCATGAATAATAGCGTGAGGGATCCATGACATAAATTTGTAATGAAGTCTACAGATAAAATATCAGCATGATGAGAAGTTTATTAAGTATTTGTGTATTAATGTCCCATATAATTCTAGTAGAGGAAAGACGTTTGCTCTACCACATATTTACATATGTTTACTTCAGAACGATATTTCCGAGCGATCCGTCATTTGTGGTCGATGATCCCAGTGCAAATAATTTCTGTTACAGAAGTAGTTGGATGTGAGCCAACTACAACTATATAGAATTTGATTAACGTGTCATTGATATAGCACACATCTAGGAGAGATCGGCATTAATAATGAGATATTGTAATTGAATTTGTTGAAGAGTATGTGAAGATGAATAGTTTACGTGGAATCATACACTGTTGAAGATTTAACGACAAATTCTGAGTCATTTCAGCTACGCTATTGGCATGGATCATGACGTTTATCGCTTAACTTCCTCATTCGCTTATTTTTGTTATCTCATGTTCCTTTTTTTGTAGACTTGGGCTCAGTAATCACTAAATTTGATGGGAGACTTTTAGTTACTCCTTATTTCTTTCATACTGCTACGCTGTCCGTCAGTATTGGACATTAAGATTGTTATTTTAATCACATTTATGTAAAAATTTCTCATCAGACTAACTAAGTTAGCGTGTTCAACATAAATATAACATGATCTTTTATGTTTTTTTTCACCATACTATACCATATATGTTAGTCACTATTCAGTCTAAATCAAGATATCATTTTAAATGCTTTGACATTTTTTGTTGTGTTGTACCGGATTGATTTTTGTCTTCCAATCTCATCATTCCCAATTTATTTCTATTTGTTAATATCATCAGTTTGTCTATGGTGATCCACTTGTAACAGAAGAAAGCTTAGCTATGATTATTCATTTAATCAGTCGAGCATTGGACACCCCGTGTCGTTCGCCAGGAAATAATAGAAAAACTTGTACTAAGGTTAGTCTACTTTCTTTTTCTATAATATTTGCAGTAAATGATTTGTAGAAGGTTTTATTTTGCTGACAAGTACACATATTCAAATTTTAACACCATTGACTAACCGTGATGAAATTGTCACTGAAAATGAAATAGCGCTGGACAGCTATTTCGTCCCAGTGTAGAACTACTTAGCAGCGTGCGTCCACGACTTTAGTACAGCTTGAACCCAGGACCTCCAGGCCCCACTACGACCGCTTAACCGCTAGATCTTAGGCTTGTCTTTCAACGGTTCATATTTCTAACTTCAATTGATCCGCGACAACACACGACCATCATCAATTGTCATTGTCGATATTTATCGCACACCCCACTATGTCTCTGGCCTTGTTTTCTCATCAGAACTTCGAGGATCGCTTCGTAAAAACATAGTGTATTTTTATTACGGTTTTTTTATTAATTTGTGTAACTAAATTATTTGAGTTGTACTCTTCCCATGAATACTGCTGATACTACCTATCTGGAGGTATTCCGTTTGTCGAGAAAAAGTTATACGATTGAATAATCACTCGGCGGTGACCAATGTCGTATTTGTCTAGCCCTTTACGTACTGGTCGAATTATTTCAATCAAGTTTCACTGTAGTGACCCAACATCTGGAGAAAGTCTACGCAATTCTATATCAATTAAACGAGTGTCTACATTTATACTTGATCAATAGGATTCGACCGGCACTAAAAGAACTAGCCAAACATGATAATGGTCATTGCTCTGTAATCAATCTACTGTAACTATCGGTCCTGCAGGGATTTAATGGCTATCCAAATAGCTCAGTGGTAAAGTCTTAGACTGTGAATTTGAGTGATGCGCGATCGAATCTGCCAGAAAGCATTAGTTCCATCAAGATTACGGGTATATTTTGCTGATGAGTAGAAAGAAGGCCGAAAGCTTGGTTTATGGTTCCTTCTTGACTTCCTTCAACCGCCCAACACCTTAACTAATATGTGTATATCTTAATGTCCATGGTTTCGCATGATACCTTCAGTGTAAGTCAAGATAATGGTTTAAAGGTATATTTAGTGAGAGAAATTACAAAGTGCTTACATAATAAGTAAGTATCCATTTACATCTTGCAGTGTATTCTGAAGTCCAAACTTTCTTGTCTGGTCAACAAGTGTTCTACTTATGCCATGATTTCGATGTACTGAAACTCCTTGCTCCGTCTGTTGACTGTGACAATTTCGAGATCACGTTCATCTTGTTTTACTTCTTAATAATATATCATAGTGTTCTTTTTTTATTTTGGAACATTGAGTTTATGTATTAATATACGTATTCCTCATATCCAATTTCTACTCTTCCCAATAAGATATTTATGGAAAATCAAACATCCAAGAATAGTGAATCAAATTTACCTATATTATCATTGAATAATGTTAATAGTTATGATACTGGTACAAAGCTTTTAACTGAACAAAAACAAACAGAAGAAATAAACGAGATGCAGCATCAACAATCGTTGAAGCAAAAAGAAGATTTAATTACAGAAAAATGTCAAAATACTTTCATGGATGACTTTATTATGGATTGGGAAAAGGGCAGATTTGAAGAAGTTTTGGAAGATACTGACTCAGATAGATTAGATCAAATTGATTATGACGATGATGATGACGATGAATATGGCGATGATGATGTTGATGATGATGATGATCATAATGATGAGACTGTTGCAGGTGTTGGTAGTTCAGATGATCGTGATTTAAATGAATTAACTATTGATTCACAACTTATTAATAATAAACAACTACGCACTAAAACTCGTAATTATCGTTCATCGCATATATGGCGTCGTCAACCATGGAGTTCATTATGTCCTTTACCATCTACTCCATCATTTTCATCATCGTCTAATACAACTACTGCTACTAATCCTCCAACTAGTAATAATCGTCAGAAAAAATTTTGGGATACTAGTTTAATTAATTGTCCATATGAATCACGTACAAGTATACAAGATAATTTAAATTGTTGGCTTATGATATCAAAGCATAATATTCCACAAGTTTCTTGTGCTCAAGTTATGCTTGCTAGTCTACCATTGAATCAAGGATCAGATTTAAATTGTACATTAAATACAGTACCTGTTTTAGTAAATAATGAAATACAAACTGATTCCAAAAAGTAAGTCTTTTTTTATTCCGCTAAAAATAAATAATGTTTCATATAAGTACATAAAATGATAAAGATCATCAATTTTGCAGCCTGGGAGGAATGTACGTTGGCTCGATTCGCCACACCAGATGATCATATCGACATGAAAATAACAAAAGAGATCAATGTAATATAATAGCAATGATGGAAAGGACAACTAAACGTTGGGAAAATAGTTTGAGAAGACAGAGTGAAAAGATATATGTGGAGGAATATTGGAATTCAAGGTTGAAAGAAAGATATAGAGTGAATGCATCTGAACCATGTCACCTAAAGTCTGTAACCACTGGTCGCGGTTATCTCGTGGACATCAACCAGGTATTCTGCCACTACCTGTATGAATGGGACCAACAGTCAATGAATTATTGTACTGATGCCAACTTAGTTCTGGACTAGCTAGCATCACTCATCAATCTAGGCAGTGATTTAAGCGTGCCTAACAAATGTCTTAATGATTTCAGTTGATTTGCCACATTTATCAAGTACTGTATTTCTAACCTCAACACTGCTCACTAGTATAATTATATAAATAAGTATGGACAGAAAGGTGGGTGATATTTCTAGCACTGTCGTTGTCGAAACTATTTCCCAATACTAAAGATGGAATTTCAAACCGTTGCTACTATTTTGCCTATCACAACGACTCAACCAAGCTATATTGGCTGGATTACATGTCTCTTTATGTTTTCGCTTGCCTGGTAGGTCAGTTGGGAAATGATAAAACTGAAAGGCGACACTTGAGGTCCTAGGGCCACGTCGTACTGCTGACTGTAGAGGGATGCGACAGTAGTAAGGTATTTCCTTCTGACAACCGGCATCTTCAGTGATGTTACATTTTCACCGTCATTTCATTTTATTTGTGTGTGGGCTGTGATGCTGCCCGGGTGCCCAAACCGAAGCAGGTGGTTTTCTTAGGGGGCCACACCCCGAGCCTTTGACCTAAATGTCTGACCCACAGGGCAGTGGAGCATCGTAAGGAGATGCAGTCCCATGGTAACCGGTGACCAACGATTGGTTCATACGCCATTTGTTCCTTCAGTATACTGGAGCCCATGTTCTCCATTGGTTTGGAGTCAGGGTTTCTCAACTACCCTAGGTGGACTCACCGTGTCCATCGGCCCGGTTAAAGCGCCGGACATTCGCTTATACGCCCCTTACATTCTTTTTCTCTTCCCATTTTCATTGTTTTGTGTGGCGCATATATATCTGGTGCCCCCTTGTACCAATATTTATGTGTTCAAATAAAATAATAATACTTTCTCACCTCGGAAGGAAGGGGTCACAAAAGGTCTAGCCTAAGAATATCACACCTCACCTTATCGTATGGACTTCCGTCTCACTCGGTAAAGTCTTGTAAAATGGAAAGCTAATATATCAAAAACGTATGAAAAGGCCGTGCGCGATCTACGTCAAGCAGTTGTCCTTCGGACTCTGCGGCCACACTGTCAGCTCTATAAGACCAGCTCTTTTTCCTCTTTACAAGTTTATTTCACTGGGTTATACTCCTTGAATAACATCTTCAAACCCTAATGTTTTCGATTACTGCTTATACTTTTACTACCTCTAAGACTATGAGATTCGAATCGGCAATTGTATTTCTGTGCTAATGTGATATTGCAACTCGAACTGATATACGTACGTACGAAGTTCTACGTTGTTACTGACTGACATAACGTTGTACACTGCTAGTCGAGTCAGAGTTTATGAGGAACTGTCATCGGATTTGGCTATTCGTCAAGGTTGTCAGTTTTTCTCATTTTTATTTAACTTTTTCATCGACATGTTTTTCGAGATACATTTCCATCGTTTGACTTTTCAGTGACTGATCTTTCAGAAGATTCACTTGCTGGCTTATAATATTCATATGATATTGTTCTGTGTGGTAAAGACATCGACTAATGCTGTTTTCTGACCATCTCAAACAACTATGCAAACATGTTTGGTATACGGTTCTCTCCCCCAAATGTAAAATGCTATTTCAGGATTGGTTTGAGTCATCACCTGAATTAATGGTACGGAGTGAATTAGTTGAGTGTGTTGACTGCTTCACTCATCTTGGGAGTCTCATCGGTCTTAACGAAATCTCGGCACGGATTTAGAATGATCATTTGGTTTTTGCCAACTTGTGTAACATGTGGTGTAGGTCAGATTTCATTTTCACAACGAAAAGACGAGTTTAATGAACAAAAGTTCGCTCCGTTCAACTTTATGGATGTAAAACGTTGCCACTGACAATAGAGGATATTAATGGGTTACTAGTATTCGATAATAGGTGTCTTTGAAATATTGCTGGTGTATTTTGGGACCATGGAGTATGCAGTAAGTAGTTTCGATATGGAGCACTAGATATGGATGGTAAATTGATTCCTGAGGTAGTAAATGTTCGTTACGTTAGTCGTTTGAATATGTGTTACGTATGCTCACTCAGTGCCTATCTGGAGAGGTGATGTTGTGTAGTGTATGATTGTTCTGGAAGAAATGTAAGTCCGGCAGAACCAGGGTGTATTATGAGTTCATAAAGTCAGTGACAACTGAACTATGCTCTGTTAGTGGGTGTAGACTGACTGAACGATGGAATTAAATGAATTCAATTTGAGGTGGTGCCGAGCCTAATGGTTAAGATTATAGGGAAAATTATGTTTTTTTCCTGTTTACCGAATTATCATAAATCCATTTTCACCAAATCAGTTGTCTGCAGCGATAACTACATTTGATAAAAATACTAAAAATATAATCTGGCAAATAATTAAAAAAAAAACAATTAGTTGGGAGATTGATTTAATCATAATAAACATGACGTTCTCGATCAGATGAATTTTTAACGACTGGTAAACATTCGCATAAACCCATTACTTGGTAAATGACAATACCTTCACTTCCATTCATTCTTTTTTTACATAAGCATCATTCCTTTCTGTATGTTTAGTTAGTGTGTTCCAGATTGTTCTGAAAATTCATATTCTACTCTAATTTTTAAGTTACAACTGAACAGTTGTTGGTGTTCAATTTTATGCAAACTATCGACATATATTCATAGTCTTATTTAATGACAATTTAGTCCTTAGTTAAACAATTAAATAAGGTTTGTGAGTTTATGGGATTGGATGGAATATCATATATAAACTACTCATTTCAGGGTCATAAGCTTCTGATTTCAAACCATTGGTTATTATACTTTTTAAGATCTCAAAAAGTTACACTCTGGTTAGTGAATATCACTCTGTGTGTGTATGTATGTTAAATCCTCTCAAATGGATTCACTGTGTTGTAGATTAATGATTCTATTTAAGATGTCACTTATTGACGAAAGAGTGAAACCTTCACAGATTAATTTTTTTGTTTTAAATGCTTGAATGGTATTTTTTTCTAACGAAATGAATTGTATAGGTCATTAAAGTAGAAAACAAAAATGTTAAGAAAATAATGCATATAATTAATCCGCAAATTCATAGTTCTAAATGCGTATTTTTAAATATTTTTGTTTTTAGTATTATGCTGGACAGCATTATTTCTTTACTTATCAAAGCACATGCTCGTCTTTACTGGAGTCGTATTGTCGGTGGAGCTGACGCTATCCCAAAAATTTCTCTCGGTGGTTCACTGTTCACTGATCCTAATTTAACTGCGCAACAATCTGGAATAACAGACTCATCGATGATAATAACAACAGCAATGCCAGCTATAAATGTAGATGGCAATAATCCTATAACATTAAGTCAAGACCAAGTTGGTGATAGTTGGGTGGATTTTCTTAACGCTTTTCCAAAACACAATACTGTTACTCCTGCTACTACTACTGCAAATAATAATTGTCTAACTCCTCGTTGTATGGCTGTTTTAATGCCAAATGAACGACATGAATGTTCAAATTTGAATAATTCCAGTAATCCTACTGTCTCACCATCGTTTGCATCTAATAATGTGAATCTTAACCCTTCAATTATTGCAAATATCCCTCCTGAATTACGTTATTTCGCTTCTTCTAAACCAACTTATTTTCTACCGGAAGAAAGGAATGAATCAACATATCTTCGAGAATCAACAAATGCTAGTGAGTATACAGTAACATGTTACGAGGCCTTTCATAATCTTTATATCTCATTCAATTTGTTTAAACCTAACTATTGTTCAGTTCGATAATTATGGAGAAATTAAATCAAGTTAGAGATGGTTGTCATCAATTTATTTAATCAAAATCTAGAGATCACCTCCATCATTGCTTGAAGATGGTTAGTTAAATAGTTCAGAATCGATCAAAGTAATGAGGTGTGTCCACTTATTATTTTTCTTCTAGATATTGTGTCACAGTAATTCATCATAAATACATCCCTTTTCATTTCATCTTATCGGACCGCATTCTCAATGTCTAGTCTTTCTCACCAACCTTGTTACTCGAATTTTTTTACCCTTTAGCTGTTGACTACATTAATTTTTATCATGTCTTGGTGATATCGTGTTGTTAATTCGGCTAACGTACATTCATTCCGGGTTCTACGTTGATTATCTCTGACTGACTAAAAGCTAGCTAACACAAGAGAACTACTACTTTTTCGTATCATAATTTCATCAGTACACAGGCACTAGGCTTCTTGGAATCGAGTCCAAATCTTGTGAGCAAAATATCGTTAAACTATTCATTTGAACTACCATGGATTTCAATTTCTGTTTGAGTCGTGCTCACTAACTGATGAGTAGTGTCAGATGAGGACGTGGTCAACTTCCCAATCAGCTCTGGCTCTTGGTGATAAGTCTTTTGTTGACGAGTCTTTTTTCCCAAAACCCATATATTGTGAAAATGTTATTTGGTTGAAAGTTGTAATGATGGAAAATTTTCTTAACTCTGTTGATTTTAGTGGATTTTTGTTCTCTGAGGTGGATAGTTTATTCGTGAACTTTTCATTGCTTTTTTGAATAACATCATATGGAGAAAATTTAGGTAGTCTGTAATAAACTCTTGGCCTAGGTTTTGTGCTAGCTGGTACTTGTCAGCAAAGCATATCTTGTAAGAAGCTAATGCTCACTGTGGCATTCAAATCTGGGTCATCCTATTTCACAGTTTTTGTTTAAAATAATAGTGATTTATGAATGTCAACCTGTAACAATGCATCTTCTCTGTAGATGTTACTAATTGATCTGCTAAGGTCGTATGATATTCTCGTCTCGTAAACTATTGATATTTTATCATTATTTATCATGATTGCGAATACGCAATTTACTCGTCTTTTTCAATATTGTTTTTTATCCAGCAAAAAGTTACGATTTTACCAGTTCATTAGCAAACAATGATGACAATTCTCTAACGACATCAACAGCAAATGATGTATGTCATTTTACTAATTTCGGTGATGGTGCCTATTGGATAGAACGATTATTAGATAAAATTGCATCTCTATCAGAAAATAATAAATCTGCAATTAAAATGTATTTAGCTAGAGCTAGATCACCATATAAACAAGTGGTACACTTGCATACACTTCAACCAATGGATGTTATTTCATCGTCATCATCATCATCATCATCAAATGTTGTGCAACAATGTCAACAGAAGCAACACTTAATTATGTCAAATAATTCCAAGATGAGTGGTAGTAAGGAGGGGATCGGTTTAAACAATGAAACTGACGTAATATTCAATATTTCATTTTCATCGACAAATGATGGGTAAGTGTCCTGTATGAGGTGAAAGCTGTTTTAGGATTCGGCCAAATAAATTAAGTTTTTTATTATAAAAAACTAGTTCATTTGAATCGTTGTCACTTGCTCTTTCCTATACCAAAGTAATAATATAAACATACTCTGGATTCAGCTGAACATTCATGATGACAATTAGTATTTCATGGAATTTTTTCATTTTCTTTGTTTAAAATAGTAGTGATTTATGAATGTCAACCTGTAACAATGTATCTTCTCTGTAGATTTTGAACTGTCCTATATTTATCCCAGCAGTTAAGTATACATGATTCCGCAAGTAAATAATATATTTGTTATATACCAATGAGTAGAAAAATTAGATTTTTTGACGTTTCGCCACTTAATGTAAGCCACTTCTTCAGAGAATAAATAAATTAATGAATGATTTCAATAATTTGAGAAAGGGTTCACATCTTAAAATCTTAATTTCGAATTCATGATATTTAAATCACTTGGAAGTTTGTATTTTGCTTTTTAAATCACCTTCCTCACATACACAGAACAGACCTAACTACACTTTAGGTCAACAATCATATTAAATAGGAATTAAGCATCACATAGGTTATTTATCCATGTAGTTACCTTATTATGATCAATGACTGGATCGCTTGTAATTGACTAAATTTTCACTATATTCTTTTAGGTATAGTTATTATCGTATGTGCTACTGAGAGATTCGACAGTAGTCTGAAACTGTAACTTATAACTCATTCATATTTAATCTTCCGTTGGTTATTAACTGATGTAGTAAATCACTTTTAGTACTCTTGTCCAAAGTCAATACGTGCTATGTTGCGCATAACTGACTGACTTTAAATTAGGTAATAAGATAACCTTTGACTATAAGTTTTTTAACTACTCCATCTGACACAGACAGTTCATAGTTAAACTGAACATCAGATTGAACTAGGAAACGTTACCTATAGCACTGAACTTCCACTGCTACAATACTCACTTATGTATTCAGTTTTGCACTGCGGTACTAACAGATGATTTGCTCAGTGTCAAAGAATATAAAACTTATTTGATACAATGTACAGCTCACTAATTGTAAATACTTCATTCAAATACATCATTCCTTGGTTATGACCGTAACCCTAGATTAAAATGATTTCAACATCATCCAAAAGCCTCAATCTCTTCACGTTTACTGATACACCTTACTAGCAAGAGTCATCTAACACTATCTCTAATTTTTACAAATAAAAGGATTGTTGTTGGCGCCGAAAAATCAAAGCAGTATGAGGTTCTCCCATTTTTGTATAGGTTACTTGAATCTTCCCATTGATGTTTAGGACTACAACTGACCAGTCTGTTATCGGCATATGTGCATCTGGTGCGAATTACCTCGATATCGCCTTAAGTGAAAAGCACTGTAAACGGAGACGGGTGGTGGCTAGTAGTGGAATGCAAGACGCGCTTTTTGTCCTATTTGTATCTCGTCAACTGAATGTTCCTGTATTCCAGAATTCATGTGTTCACTCCATGATTTGAGATTGATCATTCGCAGTTCTAAACGTCAATGGGAATATTGAGACAATGAATACAGAAATGAGTTGATCTTGACGTTATCACACAAGCTATTGGTTGTCTGTCTGTACTTATTAGGTGATTGGATGACGCGATGTGATTTGAAGCGAACAGTATTGGGTTGGAGTGTTGGAGTGGAAATCGTTTGTAGGATGTAGGTAAATCTATCTGACGTGTCTAAAATAGGTTGAAACCTGCATCCTGTATTCCATTGCTGGCCACCAACCCATCTCTGCTGAATGATTTTTTGCTATTTGGTGTAATACAGACATGCACATTATCAGGTAGAAGTACTCTTTTGCTGAATAGTTCACCTCATGCAACTAATCTGAAATTTCCATATATTTTCATTTCAGTGTCGACTTCTTTTTTCCAAAAGTAATATAATATTTGATCCCGAGTTTTTTCTGCTTTCTTTGTTATTATTTAGTAATAATTCTTCAATGAATCAAAATTCGCCGAATTCATCTTGTCTTCCAACGACATCAGCAGTTGGTACTCGTGATGAACGTAAACGTGCTGCACTAGAGCGACGAAAGCGTCTTATAGAACAGATGACATCTAAGCAAAAAGCATTCGCTTCTACCCATTTAAAGGATATAGAATCACTGAGTAAGTTATACCAATATGTCATTTTGTAAACTGATTTTCTGATTTTCCTTGACAAATTTCTGTATAGAATTATAGTTTTTGTGTGAGTACTTCATTTACAATTACTCGATAATCAGGTTTAGGTCGTACGTTATTCCGTGAACGAACCTATTCTTGCAGATTCTGTTTTCCTGTGTTTTTTTTAAAATATTTATGTACAATTCAAATTTAATCCTCAATACAAACTGATATCACCAAATAGAGGATCACTGAGAATCAGAAAACACATTGAGGTCATCGTTTTTATGCTGTTGTGCTGACTCGGTTCAATGTTTTCGTCGTCATTCTGAGCAAAGAAAGCTTCTGCAACTTCAGTATAAAATAGGGGCTGATGATATACAATGAAAGGTTTCTGTATTTAACTATGGCAGTCAAAGAACACAACACTATAAAAAAAACATTTTTACATAAACAACTATCTCGTCATGGATTACAGCTACTTATCAATGCGTACAGCCGTGTAATATCTGGTTTTAATGAAAATTAAATTTATTTAAATGTACTCGTAAGCGTAACCGTATCATTACTAGCAATATGAGTTATTCATCTTAAAGCTTTCGTATCCATATAAAAAGAGAAAAAACTTAATTCATACATCCCCATAATGAATAGCATTGAATAAAGTGTAATTCATTATCCAATGGAATTAATCAATGACAACGTGGTAAAATAGATAAACAAAAATTTACATTTAACTGTGCAAAAATGTAGTGAGAAAATTAGCAATAAAAGTAAAATGGTCAAAAACAATCAGTGTTTAAGGATTTTTAGCAATTACGATACATGATAGACCAAGAGTAAATTTAACTCAGTTGATCGATTGTCATTACTTGTGATATATATATTCTAATGTCAAAAATGTTCGTTTTTATTCGATCAATCCTAGTTATTCGTTTTGAATTGTTTCATTTGCAATTTAGATCTATTTGTTCACCATGTTAAACTTCATTATTCACTCATTTTAATGATTTGAAACGTGACAACCTGAACTGATACATATTTGTATCAGGTCCTATGTCTTTTTTGAATAACTAGTCTAGATATTGTTTGTGAGGATCGAGATAAAGATCGACCTTATGAGTAAGACTTTACCGTTTCATCTCAGAAAACGCAACTCCATTAAAATGTGTCGATCTACAAATTCTTTTTTGCTTTTCTTGTCTTGCGCACTCATGTTAGTTTATCAATACTCAGTTTTGTGCAAGCTTTTAATTAACTCATCAATTGTAGAACCATTAAACATTAGGGAACATAATTTTAGCTATTTTATCACAATGTGAGAGTCTTCAGCCGTGTACATCCACGATCCACACATGATCGAATCCATGTAATTGTAGGTTTACACGACGAGCCTAGAGTTGAATCGAAATCTAGCTGTTCGTATTTACAGTTTTTGTTGCTATGTTATGCAGTACTATGCTTATCCGAATCACTATCATGCTTCCGGTTTGTTTGATTTTATTTGTCACCGCTTACCACTAACAGTGCGAAAGAAGTCTGAAAGTTAGTCACTAGTGTGGTAGTGCTTTTCACCATAAAATGACTTCAAGCTTCTAAATTCTTTGTGCTATGCGATAGGTATGGACGAGTTTTAACAGGTGAGAGCTTTTCCGGTTGAATTTTTATTTTACTAAACTATTACTTATCGTTACCTTGAGTAATTAATTTTTTTAATTTTCGGTTTAGATCAGCAGACTGTGGATCGTAAAGAACAGTCAGATAATAGTGAACCATTGTATGAATGTGTTATTTGTCAAATATCTGGTCGACCATCAGTAGATGACATGGTTCTTTTAGACATGATGTGTGAATCAAATCGTAAGTTGTATATTGTTTTTTTATAGATAGTTGCTTGAAATGACTAGAATACACTGATCAGCTTTTGCAACAATATTGTAAAACATTGATGAATCTTTTTTTTCTTTGTGACCATAAATTCATATTTATATCTTGAAATGACTTTAAAAATCCTCGTCTGATATGAATATAGTTTCGTCATTCTCTGGGATCACATTTTACCTGTACAGTTTATTGGTGTTGTCTAATCCCGGCTTCGTTTCATTTTTTTAAAAATCAAAGGACTTTAATTTATGGATTCAATTTTTTGACAATATCGTCCTGTATTTGTTGTTTCAACACTAGTGATTTTTGTCGAATCAATTTTTTTCATGATCAAACAATTTTATTTCCATGTAAAGTCAACAATATTCCATCATAAAATTAGACAATGAGGTCATTGACTATTGGACTGAGCCATATTGATCGGTAGTTGAAGACTAACTGGTTGTAGCCAACGCGTTTATTATAACCTGAGATCTTGTACCTTTTTTCATTCTATACCTAATTTTCTCTACTGTTACTGATACTGTTTTCTTTTCTTTTCCTCTGAGGTTTAAGTTGATAATTTCATCTCACTGTGCTAATGCGGTATGAGAACTTAAGCTAACACACATGTATTTCCGATTCTGCCATACATTTGACTGACTGACTAGTGTAATAAGCAAATGAATAAACTTGAATCTCACACACTTATCCAAAAACTAATTACAATTGTTTGAAAGTACATTCCTTATTTCATTCTTGTACATGAGAATTTCATCCTAGTTTATTATTTTGGATATTCTGAAGTTGTTCAAAGGAAATGCTTTTTTACCCTCACTGTAACTCACTTTTTATTCAATAATAAAATATCGTAAGCTGATTTACCTCATAATCCAAATGTTTTATTCAGTATGTGTTTTTATTTATTTTAAAGTTATGCTTCAGCTTCGTGAAACTGCTGTGATACCAACATTATCTGGACGAGATCTTAGCCAGTCATCAGGTTATCCTCCAGTTCTTTCCGAAACTGACGACTTATCATGGTTGTCACCAGAACGACCACCTGTTGCTAGCTCACTGTCTCAAGATTCTCAGTTGAGTAATTCAACAAACACTGATAATCCTTCTCCAGTTAGTGGTAGTAGTCAAGCTCCAGCAGGAATTGTTGGTCTACCAATTCATCCAATTACAAGTAATTCTTCTATGGAATCACATACAAAACCTTCATCATCACCTAAACCTCAAACACTTTCTGGTAATAAACAATCAAAACATCACTTATGCTATACTGAATCTCGTCAATGGTGGAGTCATGCGATACCTTCTCTGATATCTAAAACATTACCCCTACTACGTACTGGACTTTTATTACAAACTTGCGGTCATGTTGTTCACCGAGAATGTTTTCAGCGTTATCGTACACATGTATGTTACACAATATCTTTAAAAATATGATTTGTTTTTTTTTGAATGTTTTAACAACTATTTTAATATTTAGTTTACACAAACGAACTGTACGGTTATAGGTTCAAGTCTCATGCATTTTGTACTCTAGTTTGAACAGTTAGATAGATCCCACTACTACCACACATAATTGTGTTGTATTGCTTATCAATCAAACCCAGATTTATTTGTGACCTCATGATCTCTGTTCATTTGTTTAACAGAACTCACTAAACCAATCTAAAATTTTATATACACTGAGATTATAATTATATCGGTTTGATTCAAATCGTATGTGTAATCGCATTCAAATTTGTAATCTGAGATCAGTTATTGTTAGGGTATAGGTGTAGCAACAAATATCCACCAGATCAAGTTGATCGAGGGATTATAAATTCTACGGATCACATCCGTAGTATTCTATTTTCTCTATTCAAGGGCTCTTTAATTATCTAGTGTTAAAACCTCTCGTTCCAGGTTGTCACAACGAGTATAATGGAAGTTGAGATAAAGGAAATTCACGAAATGTGTTGGTATTTTCAGCGTTCTTACGTTTCATGCCCAAAACGTTCTGAATATGTGTATACTGATGTGATGTTTACAGTGCGATCGACATGATATTGTAAATTAATACCTCACTGATGTTAAATATTTTTGAGTTCGATTTATACGAATTTGACTGTAAATACATTATAGTAGTGTATTCAGGTATCAGTTTCATTTATTTTCGGAGTCAAATAAATCTATCAGTCTTTGTGTTTTTATTATTGGTCGTTAGATTCAAGGTTTCAGTGCCAGGACAAGTCAGTTAAGCTTTCAATAGACATAATAATAAGGGACCTAACGCATAACTCTTTTGTTTTTTCACCAAAGGGGGGTAATCGTTCTACTACAACACGTCATCGTTCTTGGATTGTATGCCCTTTGTGTAGAAGAGATATTCATCATCTTTTACCATTAGTTCCACTGCCTAAATCTGATGCATTTGGCAATAAACAACAATTATACCCTTCTGTAGAATATGGTCAACAGAATATTGCAATGCTTTTGAGTAAACTAGTAAGTTTATTGAAATTTTATATATATATATATATATATATATATATATATATATATATATATATATTAAAAAGTGGTTGTCGTGTTTTTAGAGGTCAAAGTAAATTTTTATCTACCAATGAGTTTGTGTTGTCTTCCTAACATTGAACGAATCTCTGTGTTTTTCATCTTTCTCAAGTAATAATTTTCAGAGCTGTTGTAGATAATGTTAGGGGGGATTTCAACAAGAGTTTCTATTTGATTGCTTCAACTATTCTTTTGTTTGGTGCTTTGTGCTTAAAGGGTCATTTCAAGTCAACTGTGGAAAAGTAATAATTAATTGCACAGATGGTTTTGATTTATGAACTCAATCACTTGTAAAGTTATATTTTAATAAAGTTTTAGGATTATTGTTTTCTATTAACCTCTAACTGAGTCAGAACCATTTGTTCTGATCTCATTTTTGTTATTTAACATTTTATAATCGAGTAGATAAATTTACAAATACTAAACGGCTAGCACATTGATACCTAACACTAATCGACAACAGATACAATAGATTTTCATCAAATCAGTATACAATGTTTAGTTGTTCGACTAAAGATTGCATAATGTCTTAATCAATATAAAATCATCATGTGTTTTATGAAACTGGTAATAATAATGATAATAAAAGTAAGTAAGAATTGATTAAATTGATCTCGTTCTAAGTAAATTATTTACACTAAGTACTATTGAAAAACAATGAGTAACCAATAGCTATTTTGTTCAAATATGAAAATTATCGGTAGTGAACACCAAAAATCTCATCAGAAGATGTGTGATAGAAATCAATCCATAACGAATACCATGTTCGAAATTCCTCATCCATTGTTTACAATTAGTCATCATGTAACGATAAGAGTAAATGAGTTAAAAAAATTTGGACTGTGAAAAATTTAAAGAGGAGTATATATATATATATATATATATATATATATAATTGGGATTATCATTGAGATTTTTAGCTTGTGGTGTGGTCAAGGTAGAACATGAGAGGCTGAACACATTTTATTGTGGACGCTAAGCTCTGGCATTTAATCGGTATGGATGTTATTTCAGAAGTTTGAATGACTCTGAGAATGATCTATTTCAGCAGATTATTGCTTAACATGATTATTCAAAAACGAATTATCTATGCTGAATATATGACCCGTTTGAACTAAACGGGCCATGATCGAGTCTTTTACAGTCATAATCTTCATCCTTCTGTTTAACCACTAAAAAATTTCATAAATAATAAAGTGTATGTTCCGAGAATATGATCAATCAAATTATTTCTGTTTAATTGCCAGAATTCATTATCAGACACTGGTTCAACATTTTGGAATGATTTAAATGGTTCTGAGGATGAGTTAAATGTTCAGCGTCGAATTCTGATGTCTCAACTAATTGGCAGTAATTATGAGGCTACAATACTATTAAGGTAATTAGTTTATGTTTACTACTAGTAAATTTTTCCGATTAAGATAATGCCAATTTAATTGTAAAATAGCATTTAATGGAGAATTTCGCGTTGTGATGGCTAAGGTGGTCACGGGATGGTTTAATTTTTGTTAATAATGCTAAAGTCTTACTGGTAACGGTATCTGCATGTTTTTTTCTCATTCACTCTTTTTTCTGATTGGCTGCTGCTACGTTTCTGTATGCTTGATTTTCATGCTTCAGTTGTTATATACCGAGTTTCACTGCTTCAAGTTGTCTTTCTTCATCTTCTTTCTGTGTCAGCGGTTCATTTTTAAAGTGTTGTGTCTCAGCTGCCGCTATCAAGTAGTCTGCAATAAAACTGTCCATATTGGAGCAACTCAATCGTTCGTTGATTTTCAAGTATCGTTTGAAAATCCCCAAATAGATATAATAATTTTATCAAGACATAACAGGTATAAAAACAGTGCTTTCTGTTGAAAACTGGTTTTAAAGGAGATCTGTTTATTTATTCATCAACTACTTTTGAATACTTTTAAAAACAATCTCACCTGGGATGTTTTACAAATTGCATTGCTTATTAGGTTTATATATATAAAATGATTTTTCGTTCGTCCTGAAATGTGTAGGCATGATCTCTGTGATCTTTGGATTATTGTTTAACATTGATGCGTTCAATTTTGAGTTGTCAACAATGAGTATTTAGAATATATAAATTCAATAATGTTCCATGATATACTTGATTACATTTCAAACAGTCTATCATCATTGAGTTATTCGAGTTGTAAGTCAGTATGTTCAACTTACTGACGTACGTTGTAATCTTACAGTAAAAATCATTCTTTGAAGCTTCATTATTGTCGTTATATCCGAATAAGATTAAATTATGGGTAACTTCTGAGAACTATTTAGAAACGTATGTGTATTCTTATCGGATAACTGTTAAGTAACTAGATCCATACAGTGGAAGCTAATATTGATGTTCTGAACTCAACTAGCAGGGCTAGATGCGAAGGCCCAGTAAGGACTCTAGGTTGCTCAGTCAACGCGTTTTTGGTTTGGCACAGTGCTAAGATTGTATAAGTCGTGTTTTAATTGGCTATTTAGTCATGTGATAAATAATAGGAAAAAAGACATAGCACTCGTATTACATATTTTCAGTATATTAACTGCTTTGAAGTCCACTAAATTTTTTCACATTGTGTTTCGTGCATTGTTTGTTGTTTTTCTGATTCTCATTCATGTATTTTGTTCTTTATTTCCTTTTTTATTTGTCAAAACTATGTTTATTTACTAACTGAAAAAGATGTCAACTAGAATGTGAACTTAGTGTTCTGATGAGTTATCCATCACAATATTCCATGGTATCTCGTCGGTGTTATTGGCGTAAGTTGAAGTAATATTTTTTTCTGTTCTCTCGTTTGTACTAAAATCTGTTTATTCATTATTGAATAGTGATATTTTGTTTTGAATAACATTGCTGGTCATGTACTACTACACAATGTATATATCTTGAAGTTTATTATTGTTCACTATGTGGTATTTAATATTTACACAAAACTTTCGTCTTAATATCACTTTAATTATTTGTACTATTATTAACCAGAGTTTGATTATCCCGTTGGTGGTGGTTATATTCAGAAAATCTGGGTAAAATGTACATTTATCAATAAAGATTGATCAGAATTTGATCCTGAACATAAACAGATGGATAATTCAAACTTTTACTATTAGTAGGTAACAATACCAAGGTCACGAGACGTCAGAAATATAATTCTAATAGTTGAGATCATGAGTTAATTGAAGCTCGACCATCATGGAAAACCTGGAAGCACTGGATGGACATTTCGTCCTACTGTGGGACTCAGCAGTGCGCATCCACGACCTCGCCTCGCGAGATTAGAACCCAGGACCTATTAGTCTCGCGCGCGAGCGTTTAACCATTAGACCATTGAGACGGCATCCAACGGTGTTAATGTCTAACTTCAACTAATCCTCGAAATTGAACGACACATCCACCATTGTCTTCCGTGAGCTACTATCTCACAACAGACCCGGTTGAACTCTACTTGTCACCGCTTCTATTAAGTCTTGGGTTCGAATCTCGCAAAGCGGGATCGTGGATGCTCACTGCTGAGGATTCCCACAGTAGGACGAATCGGCCGTCCAGTGCTTCTAGGTTTTCCATGGTAGTCTAGCTTCAATTGACTCATAATCTCAACTATTAAAATCACTATAGTATCCACAAAACCCCTTCTGATAAGAATATATTTATTATTACTTTAGTAATAATAATGTAAACATCATGACTATTGAATAAGTTAGTGGCAATTTGAACTCATTAGCTCAATGAATAACACCTTGATGTTTAATGTCTTACTATGAACATCAACCCTTGAATGCAAGTACATTTGGCAATTGAGTTCCAAATATAACGAAATATACATCCTGGTTTCCAACGTTAGCCACAATCTATTTGTTCCAAACATAATTACATTTATGATTTATTTTTATTATTAATGGCTTCATTTAATATTATATTTTTGGTACAATACAGAATTTTCAGCATAATGTATTTTAACAAGTTTCCTCTTCCTATTTATTGATTGGTCCTGACGATAAATATTAAGATGTTACCAGTTCAGGAAACAACATATAAATAATGTTCATTCTTTTCACTTCATATTGCCAGCAACCACAATGTTGCTGATTGTACTTTTTTGTAATTTATACAGTGAAAGATCGTAAACGTTCCATAAACGTACTTAAATAGGTTATACCATTAATAGACATGATGATATATTAAAACAAACAAAAACAGATAACTTTTCAAGATAATTAAATAACAGGAACAGGTAGGCCAGATATTCAAGCTATGTTTATAAATTTCATTTTAATATTACCCATTATCATACGTTAACTACATTATTTAATGCTCAAATAATTTGATTGAAATGCTAACTAGTTCTTATAATTAATACTTCATATATGGTTATTACTCAAAAGAGTATGTTTTATAACACTTGGAATTCATACATAACTATGTATTTTCTTAACTTATTTTTATGTTTACATGCAAATGTCACGTTGTTATTTTTTTATTTACAATTTGAGTGTATTATGCAGTGATTGTTTATTAATGTTTATAATTGAATAAATACGCATGATTCAGTATCAAATTTCATCAAACGTTATATTCATCTCTCTTCCTTTATTTTAAATACCTGTTTTCTATGAGTAGTAAAACTAAATATACACTTTTAAATAGTTTATTGAGATGTAAATGAAATGATTATTTCAGTTTTGTAACCCATGAAATGATGATTAAGTGTTTGAAGTAGGAAATGCTTTAATGTGAACTTTAGACTCTTATTATTTCTTTATTTGTATAGGTTGCTTGAATCTTCCCATTGATGTTTAGGACTACAACTGATCAGTCTGTTATCGGCATATGTGCATCTGGTGCGAATTACCTCGATATCGCCTTAAGTGAAAAGCACTGTAAACGGAGACGGGTGGTGGCTAGTAGTGGAATGCAAGACGCGCTTTTTGTCCTATTTGTATCTCGTCAACTGAATGTTCCTGTATTCCAGAATTCATGTGTTCACTCCATGATTTGAGATTGATCATTCGCAGTTCTAAACGTCAATGGGAATATTGAGACAATGAATACAGAAATGAGTTGATCTTGACTTTATCACACAAGCTATTGGTTGTCTGTCTGTACTTATTAGGTGATTGGATGACGCGATGTGATTTGAAGCGAACAGTATTGGGTTGGAGTGTTGGAGTGGAAATCGTTTGTAGGATGTAGGTAAATCTATCTGACGTGTCTAAAATAGGTTGGAACCTGCATCCTGGATTCTGCTTTTTTTACATCCAATACATGGTTCATTTCATGATATACAACTATTTATTATTATGTTAATTTTTACTATCGTATAACATGTGTGTATGTGAAATTTTCAATATTGAGGATAGTTTAATTTTTATTTCTTGGTTCTTGTTTGTTTGCTTATTTTTTCTTTGATGTCATCTACACGATACAAAACAGTATACTAATTTTTTCTTTCATATTTTTCTCTAGGAGAGTTTATTTGTTATCTCCGACAAATATATAAGAAGTCATCGGATATTAAGAATTTAATACAATGTCTCATGATTGATGAAGTAAAAAGATTGGATGATGACAATACGTATGTTTATGTGGTATTTCTGTCTTATTAAATAAATTAAATATCATCCATAGTGTGATATTTTTTGCGCATACATTTAATGATCCGCAATTTGAGGGGTATATATCTTCGTTACCTGTATACGCATCGAAAGCTATAGCGCTTAGGACATGAAGTGGAGATTGAAGATGTTACTGTCCGAAATGACAATGAAATCTTCTCAATCCATACATTCAGCTCAAAGCATAAAACACCATCATTAGTGTCATATTTCGTTTTTTTTGTAGACTTTCACTAAGCAGCTCACTAGATATCAGATTACCGTTTGAGGCGACAGGTACTGGATTCTTGTCTCAAGCTAACACACCAAGACTCAAATAAATACATGTATGCCTGACCGATGAGTTTCTATTTAGACGAAACGCTCGTCTCGCATCCCAATACTAACCACATACATTTTGACTAAGGGCCATTTGCGATATCTCCGCTTCGCATCCAATTATGACATTCGAGACTGGTCAATGACATCTCCAATCATAATAATAATAGGTATTAAAATTAGTCATAAAGTTAGTGTTTTTTTTCTTGTTTACTGTCTCGACTTGTCAGAAAAATTTATCTTATTATTAGATTTATTTAAAATCAAAAAGAATTACTTGTTATATTGGTTCACAATTCAAGTGTTGGTAACATTCCACTCAAATATACTTGATCGTGATATTGTACCTGTTATCTATTCTTTTTTTAAGTGAAGAGAGCCTTATCAATAAATTAATATATAACTTGTCTTGACCCGTAAAGATCGGATTCATTTTCATTCAATTAGGTTGCATTGGTTTTGTCAGGCTAGCACACTGATAGTGGTTCTGAAAAGATTGTATTATAATTAGATAAAATCATGTGATCATGAATAATACTTATCTGATTTAACAGCAACGAAGTGTAGAAAGGATCTTTTCCTTCTTCTTCATTATCCTAGGTTTCCAGTGTTTGCTTTACTTCAAGATCCAGTTGATATTCTGCTTGGACTGCTACCTCAGGTATGGCCTAATGAAGGTAAGTTAATAATAGTAATGATTATAATAATAATAATAATCGTAATAGCGTTGTTATGTAATGTTTAAGTGATGCAATTGTTATCCCATCTGTTAATAATTCGTAAATTTAATGCAGTTCAAATTCTCAAAAAAATATCGTTACCGTTTTGCAGTGAAAGTGTAGGGTAGACTCATTCAGTGTTAAATTCACAACCCTAGTTATTTGTTTTTCCTACTCATCTCTTAATTCTTCTGTGGCCTAATTTCTTAGACTTGACCAATTGTAAGTCTGATTTGCACCATTAACCCTGAGTCGACGCAAGTCAATGTCCTGTTGGTCCTCCACAGTTAAGCCTCTCTCCATGCTCTTACCTTGAATCCAATGTCATGTTTGTTCTCTGCTTCTGTTATTATTATTATTATTATTAATATTTTTATTATTGTTATTATTATGTTTCAGGCACACTCTAGTTTATATTTATACGTATGGGACCACACCTCACAATAAAATAAAAAATTATAGCTATACATAGACGGGCTGAAATTGGTTGTGTATGGGGTAGGCTGTGGATAATTGATAGGGGATGAAATAGGTTTGATAACCAGTACAATAACAGTCAGTTGGTTAAGTGGAAGCTTATGATGTGTATATATATATATATATATATATATATATATATATATATATATATATATATATATATATATATATATATATATATTTATATATATATAGTAAACCAGTTGCTCAGGAATTATACAATAATATTATAAATAATGACAATGATTCAAAAAAGACTAGCAATAAAATGTGTAATTCGTGAAAAATGAGTGGATTCATATAACAACAGTGTATAAGATGATTTTAAATATCAAAATCTAGAAAAAGACAGCGAATCAATCCATCTACACCACTGTGATCAATTCTGAGCTAATGTCATTCAACCTTACTCATGATTGGTTATGATGATCACGTGGATCCTAACGAGTTAGTCCTCATATGTCTATATGACTCAGTTCCAGAGTCAATGACTTCATATACCGTTACTGTATTTTCTTTTTTTCCTAACCTCCTCTTACATTAGCTAACAGTGTGAATCGAGGTAGGGAGTGGTTGTGCATATAATTTGTCTTCATTTTTAGTCTGGTTTACATAGATCTACATTGAACTAACGAATATATTTGAACCATAAGTCATCCGTTTATTTAGTGGTTTGTTTACTTCGATTATCATTGATTGTTCTTTTAGCTATAACATGTATATTTCAATGATAAAACCTCATTCTATCGCACCATTTTAAACAATTCAGTTTGAGCAGACAGGTAGTATATCAGTTGGCCACCACACTTGCGTTTAATAGTGTGTGAGCATATGAATTTACATGTTTTAAGTGAATAAGACGATAATTTTTTCCTATTGACACTGATAGTTAGTCATCATGTTACATAATTGGGTTTTCAGCATCTAGGTGTTGTATAATAAATAATTGTTTCTTTTATATATTTTTCGTCATTCCCCTTTTAATTTGCTTACAATTCTAGGTATTTTCCATACCGTCTTGGCATCGACATTTTGTTTGGCTTATATACGTGCTCTTATCAGTGTTACATTCAATCGTTCCACTTCATCAACATGTTTTAATTTAGTTAAACAGATCAATGGAACACGAAATTTATTGAGTAAAGTAAGTAATTCTTATGTATATTGTTAGAGAGAGTAAGAGAGCGAAAAAACAAAATGTTATTCTATCGACTATGACTGAATTCTTGATTTGTAGGCAATCTTCCTTTCTGTAAACAGTAATTGTTTTGCAAAATTTATCGATATTATTCATTCCTTTTTTGAATAAATTTACCCTTAAGGTGATATTTAGAATAAAGGTATTTAGTAAACAGTTGATTGTAGATATCACGTTGATCGATACAATGAAGTTTCCAATTCTGTAACTGCGTACATAGTTTGAATAATCCTACCGAATAGTTTATTCAATTGTTCCATTAAACAGTTTACTGTAACCAATTATTACAGTTTTAAGTTTGTTAAAAATATACATAAAGAACTGAATTATTATCATTGACTGAATAATCGTTTTTTACAGATTAGATAGCGTTTCCTGATATTTCTGCAGTTTAATAATTAAAAAGTGGACTATTGTTATTCGTTATCCATATACACGTTGTTCATTTTATTTGTTATGTCCTATGGCCCGTCACGTAACAAAATCGCCAATTAGAACACCGACTACTATGACTCTGTCCCTGTTCCACACCAAGTACACGTCAACTAAGACCAATAACCGTGAATCCTTATTGACCTCTCCATAATAGCTTCTCATCTAGCCCAGTTCAGAACACAAATACCAGCCTCCGCAACATGAATCGTGTACTTCAAACATACGTGGTCTATTATACAAGGAGATCAGACCGCATCACATCATAAAATGAAAAATAATAATTATACTAGTTTAAGCCAAAAGTGGCAGAATATGAAAGACTGTAACTAATAGATTGGGAATAAATTATGGATGGTAAATCGTATAACAGTAGCCAATAAGGTCAGATAATAGCTCATGATAAAGAAAATATCAATATGTATATAATATAGTTCCTTAATAATTAACCAATAAGAATATATGTAATAATAGTCCATAAATAATTCCTAGCAGTTATCATTCATTTATTCTTCGTTGGGATGTAGCAGTGTTTGATTTTATTATTACTGTATCATATCAGTATCCACTCTTATTATATCGTCTGGCAACGTTTTTTTGTTGCTGTTGAAATTATTCTATTATACATGTTAAAATAAGAACAGTTTCTAAATGAAACAAATTCTTTATCATTGAGAGTTGTACTATTCACTTGTTAATTTTTTTTAATTGTTCTAATCACTTCTTTTCATTTTAAAGAAAAAGATGTGATTTTCATTATAATGTTTGCCTTCTTTCAATATTTCTTCTTTTTGAAAAAATAAATAGATTTCTGGTGTTCTCAGAAAGCATTTAGAGATTTTACTTAATTATTTAAGTGAGTTAAACATTTCATTTACTCCTACTTGTGATCATCGCCATCTGCATGATACGCAACAAGATCAACAGTGTCATTCAACTGAATCTTTAGAGGATACTTGTCAATCATCTAATGAAATAGAACATATTTTAAAAGTACTATATCTTGCATCAAAATTACCGGATGAGAATTTCTTTAACCAATCCTCTTCCTCCTCATCATCATCGACAGCAACATCTTCGTCATCATTATCAACAATAACAGCAACGACACCACATTCTTCTCTTCCAATAGAATATGATCAAAATCAAATTGAATTACATATTATTCTTCGTATACTACCATTTCTACGTATTGCTAGTTTATGTTGGACACGTTGGCATCCAGACAATGTTGGCACTGTTAAACCATTAGGTTTACCATTTGTTGGATTATTAATTAAATCAACTCAGAAAGCTAATAGCCAAGATCAATTGTCAACAAAAGAATTAATGTCTATTACACCTGAGGTAAGTAACCTTGATTTCGAAATTATTTTGAATTACTATTCTAAAAATGTTGATGAATTTAATCATGTTAAAGACATTGACCGTTAAATACCAGCTCAATGATCTGAGGGTTAAACACACATTTGACTATCTCTCAATTTGATTGTAGATGTGTACTGATGAAAAGTTTCACAGTAGAAAAAAAAACTTATCCAGTACTTTTTAGTTTCAATCGTTTTTTTAATATGATTAGTCTGTGATATAAACCATAAAACGGTTATCTTTGTGATATACGTATTCAGTAGTCGCTTACATTTGGATTGGATAAGTATAAATAAGAATTCAAAGAAACGCGAATAAGATATCATAGTAATAACATTGTATATTTTGTATTCTTTATAGAAACTTTACTATAGGCTCACTAAAACTGTAGTCTTTTCTTGAGTTTCATTCATTTTCGTCTGTTATTTTGAAAGTGGTTATATTCACGAATCGATATCAGTAGTTGGAAAACAATTATAAAAGTTGGAGATACTGAACAATTATTTCGTTATAGTATTGGTCTATATACTCAATGATATATATTCAATAATTTTGAATATTTCAATCTTAAAAGAGCCCAATCGTTGCTCGGTGTTATAATTTATTTTATTACATCAGCTACTATTTCTTAGTATTATTGGACACTACTTCACTCGACAAGTCCCCAAATCAGAACACAGTTGAGCAGGAACGAGATTATATTCCAAATAACAAAGATAGATAGAAGGAGGAATTACAATGGCTTCTACATGAGATTCTAGAGTCTTCTTCAAGTATCCACTAGCGTTGTTTGGTTAAGAAATAGCCAATCATCACACCCTAACACAGTCCTGAACGAAACGTGCCTTAATCTAATATATATTCAGCTAACACTCGGATAGCTCAGCCTATAAAACTCTATGATGTTAGCTGGAATCCATTTGAAGCATTAGTTTTTTCCCATATTTCAAGTATGTCTTGACAATCAGTATGAGGTGGTATTAAATTTATGTTTAAGGGTTTCCTAAAGTTAGTATCACTACTTAAAACGAAATCAGAACGTTTAAGCTACACAATGTTCAATATTCCATTTAGTCGGTTTATTTGCGATACACCACGACTATTTTTTTATCATTATAATGGAACTGTCCTTGTTCTGTACTTGATTTAACCCTATTGGTCAAATTTGTTTCTACTATAGCTTTAAGTTTTCATACTCGCGGAGCTAGTAATAAGTTATCAGAAGATACTCTCTCTGTATCCTATTTGTAATCAAGATTACTTTCAACGTGAAACAGATAATTATTTATAAAATCAGTTTACATTTATGATTGTTTTCTCTACTTATCTCTTTTATATAAAAGCAACAATTAATTGAATTCAGTGATCTTTGTCGTATATTATCACTGGATTGTGGAGATAGTACAGTGATAAATGTAGCCCAGGTTGGTGAATTAGCTGGTCGTTTATGTGGATTATGCACTCCTAATAATAATAATGCTATAGAATGTCTTATTGGTCGATGGATTGGTCAGATTAAAAAAGTATCGTCAGTTCACTTAACTGCTTCATCACCAGCATTACTGTTACAATCTTCAACATCAGTATCGTCATCATCTACTGTCTGTGATATGCCTTTACAAATTAATAATAATAATGATATCAATCAATTATCAAATATTGATCATAGAAATATACTTACTGAAGTTGAGAATGTCTCATCTGTTAGTCGAGGAACATCGTATTTTATCTTGCATATAACTGAATATCTACGGGTATGTATCAATCGAGTTTTAGCCATAGCTGATATACTTGTCCATTGATTTCCTATGAATACATCTAAATAGTGATCAAAATTATTAGTTGACTCATTTACGTTTTACACATGTTTGTACATTCGACTGTTTAAAGGGTGATAGTGTTACTTAGCCATCTAAATTGGAGTAGATAACGAAAGGTTCAAACTGTTGATTGAATTGTTGGAGATCGAGTGTTCTAATCAACTAAACAGTACTTCATGTTGTTGCCCTAAAGTAATCTAATAATTAGGTTTCTCCTTCTGTTGTAAGTACAGTGTTAATATTTCTATAGACATGATCTGTTCTGTAAAATACCCATTAAAAAAGCATTGCTGTCAAAACTTTTTATACACACTGCACATCTCTGTGTAGTTAAGGTTTTACAGGTAAAATACTCGATTTTAAACCATATTTTAATCTCAGCAGTTAATTAATGTTACAGATAATCATGTTAACGATATTACTCGAAAGTGAATATATGGTAATGACAATTTATGGATTCATGCGAAATCACAGTAATATATAACTAATAAATACTTCAAAGCTTAAAAACTAGTATGGAGAGCAATATCATTATTAGCACAGATGGCCTAGTAATTACATTGTATTTATTCATAATTATTCCATTATGATTAACATTTATATGTCTGTTACTTCGCTTATCATCTTACAATATTCATCATTCAAATAGTAAATTACATTTCAAAGAAATCAAATCACCATTGAACAAGGAAATTCGTTTTGAATCTTCACATGTCATGGCTTCCCCATAATTACATTAAGATACATGCCTCCTATAAAATAAACAGAAGGCCAAAGGATTATAAGCAAAGATGTGTGGTGGCTAGCAGTGGAATCTAGGACGCAATTTCTTTCCTATTTGGGACTCACTAGCTGAATGTACCTGCATCCCAGAGTTGATTCCCACTCCGAGATTAGAACCCAGTACCGTTCGCTTTAACTACAGTCTTAAACATCAATGAGAAGACTCAAACAAGCAATACAAAAATGGATTGAAACTTCTCCATTGCACACACTAGGGGCTATCTGAACTCAATAGGTAAGTGGATAATGCTATGGCGTTTGAAGCGAGTTGGAGTCACATATTGAACATCAACTGTGGGATGCAGGTACATCCAGGTGACGAGTTCCAAATAGGACGAAACATGCGTCCTGGACTCTGCTTATAGTGCTTGTGACTTAAGGTATCATCAAAACAATTCGTACAGGATGCACATATATCAATGTGAGACTGATCAGTTGCAGTCCTAAACATCAAAGAAGATTTAAACAACCAATACAAAAATAAATTAGAAATCGAAAGAGATAGTAATGCATAACATTATTAAACTTTAAAATATTTCAGAAGAAAATTTCGAATAATAAATAATTTACTCATGCATATATATTGTTTTCATTTATTTATTTATATTAGTCATTAGTTGAAATTGGTCGTCAATTGTATTCACCACGTCTTATACGTACACCATCATCATTTGATGTATTATTCAATGCATTACATTTAGTCAATTGTTCATCAAATCAACACAGATTTCAAGATAATATTCTATGTCTCATTTGTGGACGCTTATTATGCAGTTTATGCAGTAATTTAGCTACCGTCGTTGTTGAAGTAAGTACTTCTGGATTCTTTCTTTTCCTTTATATATTTGTCTTATTATATAACGAATGCATTGAAATATTTTTCTCTATGTGATATACTACTTACTTATTTACTCCTGTTACTCCTCGTGGAGGACCATAGGCCACCCAACAGGATTCTCTAACCAACTCTGTCCTGGACAATCCCTTCCAGTTGTTATTCATTCTTTTGATATTTGCTTCCAATTCTCGACAATGTGTTCCTTGGTCTTGCTCTTTTCCTTTTTCCTTTCAGGATTTTGAATTGTCGCTTGCTTTGTGATGCAATTTGATGATTTCCATAGTGCATGTGCTATCCACTTCTATCTTCTTTTCCTAATTTCCTTTTCATCTGGAAGTTAGTTTGTTCTCTTCCATAGTAGTCTGTTGCTGATGGCATTCGGCCAACGGAGAGATATACTACGCTGTTATGATAACTATGAAAATAAGAATGAACTTGATGACCGAGTACATAATACTACTAGATTGGATATTCGAACTATACAGAGACTAGACCATGTTATATCAAATAAATGATTCACGACTAAAAATAGGGAACCAGTGTAACTTTAGATAATAGTTCATTCCACACAGTTATAAGCAGTCACTTTCAGCGAGTCCACAGTAGAAATCAATTAAAAGAAAAGAAGCTAAGTATCCATTTGTTCATAATCGGTCTCTAATCACATTTAGCTCAGCTGACGCACATTGGTTTGCTATTTTGAAAATAAATGTATCTTATTCAAAAAATGGCGAAGTCTACTGTGCTAATTGATCAGTCGTACGTTAGAAATTTACAGCAACACAGTTGACTGAAATATTAGAACGATATATCATTTGTAATATGTTACTAGCATCACTGATTAACAACTAAAATTACCATTCATATGAATAATAATAATGTGTAAATTTATAAGGTTGTGGAGATTTACAATAATCTTAAATTCTGTTAATCCCTAGTGTGGCGATAGATTTTTAAATTTCTTATGAGAGGCTGTTATTAATAATATATAGTGAATAATGTCTATGTTAAAATACTCAACTTTAACCGAAGACATAAGGTGTAGTATTTGTTTAGCATCAGAAATTAACTGACACTGAAAAAGTTAGACGGTTGAGTGATACTGACTACATTATTATAACACTAGTACTAGTGTAATTCTAGCTGCACGATTCAAATTTTGTGTTGATTTTATGTCGTTTATAAATATTATCGAGTAAAAATCAAATTAGTATACATATTTTTATTCACTGCTACTTCAGGTAATATTACTTCGTAGTGACTATCGCGTCCAATGTTTCTTTTTTGGGTTTAGTAAAATAGTGTGCTTTCAAACAATTATTGTCTCTCGTTTATTTTTCAGTGTATATATAGACAACGTTGAGAAACGGTAGAGATTTTATCTCACTTATCTACTTATTTAGCCTCTTATTTTAAAAAGGAAAAATGCGCTATGCAAATCTAACAATTTTCGGCTCATTTATCTGGACATTATGCGTTCGCTCACCAAACTGAAGGTTCTGGCTTCGATCGGTGGTAGTGAAGTTGCAGATTCGTAGGTCTTAGGAGTTCAACACCTAAACAGAACAGCTGTTCAGTGCTTCAATATTTTCAATAGTTATCTAATTTAGATTGGTTCGTGATCTCAATAAAATTTCAAAATGTAGATCGTCTCGCGAACTGTTTTACTTGTAACTCAGTGGATGTGTAGGATTGTTACCACTTTTTTAAACGGCAAAAGTAAATATTTATGAAATGTGTTTTTTTTAACGGAAACACTCAGAAGTAATATGATTGAATAGTCGATTGCAATAATGGCGAATGAATGTTGCACTGAATAACAAATGCAATAACTTTTATACTTTATATGTTATTAAGTGAGCATAGAAAACTGTAAATAAATATGTATTCACTTTTTAAAATGTTAAATTTAAAATTAATAATTCATTTACATTAACTCATTCAACGGTGAATTTCATCTTTCTAAAAATACGAAAAGAAAACGATATTATTTCAAGTTTACACAGTATTCATCAGGTAGATTTTTTTGTGAGTGTGTGTATGTGACTGTAAGGCGCTTTTTTGAAGGTAATGTATTTAACAATAGACGTTTGTTCGTTTAATCCGAACTTGTTCATAGCGTTGTCGTTTTTGTTACGTTTCAACCAATTCACCGTGTATTAGTAATAAACTCTTTCATTTTCTAGGCCGTTTAGTCGTCTAAAATAAAGCAATATATAATTGATATAATACTTCATACATGTTATTTATAAGTATATTATAGTGGTCATATTATTTTAGTGGATTTTTAAAACGGATGACAATGCATATATCGGTAAACGTCATGCATAGTTTTTCGTAAATTTGAATAGTAACGTTTTCCCCTTTTTTGACAGGGTCAGCAGTTAGATGCACTTGTATCTCACAATTGATATTTACACTGAAACTAAAAGCAAAAACCTTTCGCTTTAAAACATACAATACTGTCCCTTGGCCTTATAAGTAAACGTAATTATCTCCGGAACATGTATTACCCAATGATTTTGTATTGTGAAATATTTTGTTCTTTCAACCATATTGGTACATATCATATGAACGATCGCACTCAAAATTATCAATTCAGTCAACTCAATCATTTCAATGTTTCAGTATCATTCATTTACTTGGTTGTCATAATAATAATAATATTAATAATAATAATAATAATAAGGATAATTTCAAAATGGTTTCAATATAAATTAGCATGAATTAGCGTTGGTCAAACTACATTGATAAGATTATGTATCTATCACTTTTATCATATTTGAGTACATTGACAATACTTTATGTGACGCTTTAGATATCGATTACTTATTATATAATTAAGTCAGTGATATATGTAACTTATTACATAACAGTTCCCAGTTGAATGGAATTCGATGTTTTTGCTCTTTCTAAAGCATACCTATATGTGTGGTGGTTTTTCTGGCGTAGTCCTTGAAGTGAACACTTCCATTGTTTACGTATCACTTGGATCAAATATTTGTGATTGGGGCTCAGTTTATTTAGATGAATACGGAGAAGAAGATTTAGAATTAAAGTAAGTTTCCATTTTTCTTTTCATGTCACAAGAAATAAATTTCCTAGTTTATTTAAGTCTAGTAATCAATGTCATAACTGTAGTGTGGAATAGCTCTCTGATATGTTACCCAGTGCATATAGTAAACTATGAAGGTGATAGATTTTATCAGCTAAAAATGTACACAATCTACATTGAGTCACACTATTCATTTGATAAGTAGTAAAACTACATCGTGTGCATGAAACTCAGTACATAGATCAAGGTTCAAACTTGTGATATCTTGGTTAAAAGTTGATTACCTTGATGAATAGTCAATTACTGTATCACTGTATACTATAATTATCGGTAGTGTGTACTTCACTGTCAGTCTAGTTACGCAACAACACTAGAACAGAATTAATGCATCATTTGAAATATTATCTGAAGTTATCCGTGTAGACAGATAAAACCTTATATTTTGCATCATGAGTTCATCTCATGCTCTGTGTATTAAAATTTTGGTAACGAGGTAATACTGGCCATTCGGAGCTGTTGAAAATACATGAGATATGATAAATTTATGTTATTCTACAAATCTTTTCCTTGTTTTTTCTTTGCTATCGTTAACTTTTACATGAAATGGATTATCTTCTTAGTATAGTGTATTTTCCGTAGCAAAAGTTTCATTTAATTCAAGAAATCGGTTTGACATTCATTATGGTAATAGACGTCAGTTTATGTTCCCTAGTTATATGTGAAGCCCTAGGAAGACGTATTCAGCATGAAACGCAAACCTACGTTTCGTACTTATTGGCACTCATCAGCAGGTCATACATACAATATTCTATGGTCCTGCATCAGTCCAGCCTCGTAACATAAGACATTAATTCTGAGTTATTCAAGTCGCTGTGACATTTTATTGTTTAAAAGTCCATATCTTTCCCATCAAAATTTTGGATATACTCATATCCGAAAAGTTAGATTAAGACAATAATGGTGAAAGAATAAATAGTAGCTGTTAAGTGTTGATCGATTGTGTAGAATTAATGTATTAACTATAATTTATTGACATCATATGCAAACAATAAGGCGAACGTTTGCTAATGTCTTCGACGTGTTTGGCTTACTTACCCGCATTTAAGCAAAAAAATTTGTGAACACAAAAAGCAACCGAACATCTCATTTATGCCATTTCACAAATATATTCATGAACAAGAGTTAATGTTATTAGATGACTAACTACAGGTTACTGTATTCGGCTTTGGGTTACAGATAAGCACGCTTTTACAAGCTAAGATACTGTCACTTAACTGATAATATCATGTAGAGTAGCACAGTACAAAACAAATTTATTGAATTTGAAAATCTGATTCATTAGTTCGATGATAATACGATAGTTGCAAGATCCGAAGGTCCTGGATCACTGTCGAGGGGTAGTAAATCTTCATTATATAAGAAGTTTATATTAGGACAAAATGACTTTTCGATTCGTATCAAAATAAAATTCTGTTGTCTAACTTTTCTGTAATATGTGACTTTTAACTTTGTCTAGAAATATAGAAACCTGTTTTTGGTATATCATTTTATTTTACAGACGTGGGAAACCATTATTCCTAAATGCTGAACAATTTGCTCTCCTAGAAAATCAGTGGATCACTCATTCATTTCGTCATGTATTGAAAAATTGGCGATCTGTTTGAAAAGAAAATCAAAACAAGGACAGAACACATCCACATATAAACATAAAAAACCATATGTGAACATCAGTGTCACAATTCGTCGCCATAATCATAATGTACTATTATTGTACATATCAAAATATGTTCTGTTAAAACAGCTGTCGGATACACATAAGGATCACAGTAAATACTTGTCTTTATTCTTTAATGAGTTTCATTAAAGTTCTTTTTTTATTGAACACCAATCGACAGCATATATATATATATATATATATATATATATATATGATTATGTTGCTTTTTGAATACTTACTGTCAAACAACAGAGATTGTGAGTTTTTGTGATATAAAACAAAAAAAAAAAGAATTCGTCACAAACAGTCTACCATTTGTGTTGTTGTACTCGTATTTCATTTAATTTTGACAGCGTTCATTTCATCATTTACTTCAATATTTTCTTTGACATGTATTATTATAATCCTTAGAATCGCTATTGAAATGTGTATTGAACTTGATACAATTAACATGGAATCGAGTATATACATCATTTGTTATTATTACTTGAGTGATATAAACGTCCTTTTGGTGATTAATCGTTTTCTCCATTGCTACTTTTTTTGTTTTGTGTCTTACTGATTCATTGTTCACTTTTGTTTCATACAAATGACATACATATTTCGAATTGTGCATGAATAATATATATTCAGCTACACAATATTCAGATAATTATCTTCTTTGAATAATTGTAAGACTCTGTGTTTCTTTCGGCTACCCGACACATCATGTGTAAAAGCACTAGTCAGTAATCAGTTATAGTAACACTACTTCTTCTTATATAAAAAGTAATAATAATCAACATAATTATTACTGTGAAATCCGGCTAATTCTCGTCAACTACACTTTTCATTTCATGCCAATTAGGAAAAAATGAATACTCATCAATACATCTTAATTCTCTAAGTGATCTTAGGCTGTGTTATGTAACTACTGTGTGTATTTGGAATGTCATATATATTAAGCATTAAATTTACCATCTATTTAATCAATGAGGTGTTGTTGCGTGACATAGTCCGCTGATATTAACTGATCTTTCGAGCAATTGATTTTATTTCCATATAGTTTGTTTAAAATAGCATACATGTGAATATATATCACGCAGTACACATACTCTCTTGCTCTCTCTCTCAGTTCCCCCTATTTATTTCCCCTTCAAATTCATGATGTTTCTTTAATATAAAAAAAAAATTTTGACACAAACTAAATCATAACACTATTAATTTTAATTTACACTAAATTATTCAATTCGTTCTAAAGTGTTCAATGTTTAGTATTATTTTTCTAATTTATTAAATTAGAAAATCTGGACAAGATAATAACAACTAAGATAAATTCTGATCGTTTAAAAAAATTTTTTTTAAAAAAATTAACTTGAATAGAAATTAGTTAAGAGATGAAAAGAATAAAATTTAGTCTTGATCACTTTCTTTTATTACATCACTCTATACTGCATATTTAATTATTACAACTGAAATTCATATAATTGTTTCAAATTCTTCTATTTCAAATGTTCATTAAATAATTTTAATTTAATTATCTTTAATTCATCATACACAACAAATATGTCGCTTAATGATTTTATGTATGTGTATTAACTAAATGAAATGGTAAATATTTAGTGTTGAGTTGTTTTTTTTTTCACTTCACTACTTTAAATTGTTCCATTATCATTACTTCTGTTACGTAACCAACCAGCAGTGAAAGGTGATAATGTTATACTTTGTATTTGAGTAGTATTAATAGGGTTAATTTCATACAAACTTGTGATCATATGTCAAAATGAAAGTCATATTTTGTTTTTATTAGAAGCATTTCTAGTACATATTTAATGAAATCTTTTCATAGAAAATAATTGTATAAAAATAGGTCAGGTACAATTTGACTTTATTGAGTACATTTATTTTATAACAGTGAAACTTAATCCATCATGTGAACTTATCAGAAGTCATGAAATTTTGCAAAAGTAACAAATATATATGAGATGGTGAACACGATTTGTAGCTCAGGTGGATGATTTTGATGGAGTTTTGTTCTCATTATCAGCACAAACTTCAGGTAGAAGTCTAATAGAAGTTTGTGCTAATAATGTCGTTCAGAAGAACGATGAAGGATCCACAACCAAACCATCCAGTTCAGAGAACAAAACTCCATCAGTGACGAATGTATTACAAATAACTCATAGCTTATTCACCAGGTACTTGGATATGAGTGAGAGTCGGCTCCACTGAAAGGATAATTCGATAGAAATCGATTGATTCTGTGAAGTTGAAAAAAATGTGGAAGCTGTAAAGAGCGAAACTGATTCATGTACAATGACGTCGGTTTGAGCTTAGGTTTTCTTTTCGATCTAATTCTATGTTTTGAAGTAAGGCTTAGTAGTTTTGAATACGATTACGTTATTCCCCATGCTATTTGAGGTTAATTGCATGAGTAGCTTCCGATAGTCAATGACACACCTATATAATACATCTATTTTTTTTAATCATAATTACATAAAAATATGAAACAATTTATGGATTTTATAACTACATGGTTGCGGATTTTTTTCGTACAAGTTAACGCTCGTCAACAATACATAACTAGAGTCATGTGTTAACTCACACCGCTCGTATAGGTTTCAAGTCAGGTGTCAATAGCGTTTCTGTTAACCGACCATTTCTTTAACATATTTACGCTAAGTGGTGTTAACCAATGTCACCTTTTAGACTCTGGTGTTGACTAAGTTTTACCAATCAACTTATAAATGTGTCCACTAATAAAATTAAAGATACCTGTAAGTATAGGGGTTTGTGAAGACTGATCAATTTTCAGATTTTACATCACGGATTGAAATTAATGGGAAAATCACTGAAAACTGGTAAGCTGTAGGCTGCCATGTTGTCTCAACATGTCACTTCTTGACAGTACACTTCTTGATTCTCAATGTCTGTTCATGATGAAAACCATGGTCATGTACTGATTGTTCTTTTTTTAATGAGAATAACCCGAGATTTCACTATACTTAACCGATTTCGCGTCAATTTAAAGTCATGAAACCTGAATTGAGTGATATAAACAATAGTATTTTATTTCTAACTCATTATCATAAACTCTTAAGCCTTTAAACGGAGTTCATTTCTATTTGAGAGGTGACCTAATAGAGAAATACTGTAATAGGTGTAAAAATAGCCTAAAAGATATTAGCTTTAGTCCTTTCACTGTAAATAGAACAAATAAGTCTTAGTAATTTTTAATTCATTGTAACAAACCATAAAGATTCTATACTTTATTAAAAGGAAAAAACATTCAATTATACATTATAAAGTAAAAAGATGTTTACATCCATTTCATACTACTCATAGAACTTTAGTAACATTTAGTTTGGATTAATTTCATCATTTCATTTGTGTAAAGTGGTCAAACATTTCATCGATACATGTATTTGATCAAGAAAAAATTTAGTTGAACGATAATCTCAGCTTTTGAAAATACTGGAAACAGGTATTCATTTAAAAATGAAATCGTCAATGCAGAGAAAATGTCTTCGTTGTATCATGCTTCAATTATTAATATTATGATAGAGTTTCCAATGATAACAGTACGTTAAGTAGTTTGCTTTTTAAATTCCTCTGAATAATCTACCACTAACTGACAGAAAATTTCGAATGATGTTATAGAATTCATTAAAGTTAAGTAGATGAATCCTAACATTAGAAAAGTATATTTTCATAAGAATTCACTTCCTTGACTAAAAAATGTTATAAATTCATTATTATACAATGTAAAAAACATAACGGATTATGATAGAAGTAACGAAAAGGTGTCTAAAACTCATGAGTTGTTTAGATTCATAGGTAGTATTACTGAACTCGCGTATTAATGTGGAAATTAACATTGAAATACAGGTACATTCAACTGACGAAGAACAAACTCGTGTTCTGCATTTCACTTCCAACTATGCTAACACTTAGTTATTGTCACAAATCCTATCCAAACTCATTTTATCAATATTTCAGTGATAAACTAAGTGAGTGGTTGTGGTAAACTTCATCATATCATTACCTGTAATTCATTTTTTTTTCACGACTGACATATATATATATCCAGCAAAAATATCATAAACTTATTAATCATATAATGTTTATACTTTCATAATTACTGAATTACGTAATTTTACAAAATGTTGTAGAAGAATTAGGAAATTCTCCGCTTTCTTCATATTACTTGTTGGATATAAGAAATAGTTACGTAATCGTGTGAATAATCAAACAACAACCTATTGTTGTTGTTGATTTTTCGTATAAAGTATCTATAGCATTGAATTAATTTTAAATTTCACAGACATTCAAATGACAAACAAATATTGAATAGATTCTATGTAAAATAAATTGTATGCTGTATCAATTATTGAAACAAAATAAAATTTCATTGAAATTCTCTCGAAATGTTTTTTCAATTCAATTACTGTAGGTTAGAAGTTTTATGTTATTTGAAAAATATCGAAAATTCTCAAGTTAAAACCTGTTAGGTACTTTTGTTGTGTTGTTGGATAAAATGATGTTTCACTAAGATCAAACTGTACAATCAGTTGATTAAAAACAATAATGATCCATAAAATTACAATCAATTCCATTATATAATGTTTTTTATATTGCTGGAGTTTAATGTGTAACTGAAAATTTAAATGAGATTAGCGTATTGAATAAAGAAAATATTTTAACACTGTATATTCTAGGAACATAGATACATGTTAAATTCTTAGTCGTTAACCGGAATGTAACAGCAACTCAGTATTTAGTGGTGATGTGAATAGAAAAACAAGAAGCCTTGAAAAACTACGGAAGCTATTTTTTGGGATGCTATTTAATTCAAAGTTTGTAAAACAGTAACATTTATTTTTGTTTCTAGTCTATTCTACAAAACATAAGCTTTCGTTTGATGTATAATTCACTGCTATAGTCCTTTTTGTTCCAAAGCGATTGTAATTTAAACGTATTATTTTGTACTCTATTTTCTACGGTAATCCACAGTTTTGGACATAATTGTATTTTCCTAATTATTGTACGTTGTGGTCGGATTAGTCATTTATTTATTCATGTATCTTTTTACACCTATCTGAAATCGGGAACCAGATCGGAATTGAGAATAAAATCGAGTAGTGTTCCAGTTGACTTGTCTTCTGTCATTTGCGTGCTTGTCAGCCAATCAGGTGATAGAATAGTTTTCTTCTCTCTACTCC